CGAGGAGGAGGAAGAGGAAGAGGAGGAGGCTGCCTTCCCTGGCGAGCAGGGCTGGGACAGCCTGCTGGGGCCTGGAGCGGAGAGACTGCCCCTGCACAGTACCCCCAAGGGTGGGCCAGCACCAGACTGTGGCCTGTGGGGGGCAGTGGGAGTCCGAGAGGCCTGGGCTTCTTCTGAAACCCAGGACTTGGGTGGAGGCTCGATTAGCTGTCTGCAGTCTGTGGGCCTTATCTACTTCCTTTCCTTGCCAGAGGGAGGTCCAGGGCCTGGGAAGATCCCCTGGCCAGGAGACTTTGGGACCACAGCAAAGGAGAATGGTGGCAGTGGGGCCCCTGAGGAGCGGCCGAGGGAGAATGGAGATGCCCTATCTCGGGAAGGGTCCTTGGGTCCCCTTCCCGGCACTTCTGCCCAACCTCACAAAGGTAAGTGAGGAACCCCAGCTGCCACATCCCCATGCTGCCCTGAGGCAGCCCTGCTCCTCCTGCCTGCACCTCATGCTACCCACCCTTCCGGCCGCCAGGCATCCTCAAGAAGAAGTGTCTGCCCACCATCAGCGAGAAGAGCAGCCTTCTGCGGGTGCCCCTGGAGCAGGGCACTGGGTCATCTCGGGGCTCCTCAGCCAGTGAAGGCAGCCGGGGTGGGCCCCCTCCTCGCCCTCCACCCCGGCAGAGCCTCCAGGAGCAGCTGAATGGGGTCATGCCCATCGCCATGAGCATCAAGGCAGGCACCGTGGATGAGGACTCATCAGGCTCCGAGTGAGTGGGGCTGGCTTGGTGGGACCGGGTGCTGCCTGCAGAGGTCCTGGCTGGGATGGACTGCTCTGGGCCTGCCAAGCTACTTGGTCAGCAGTCGGAGGACAAATGGGCTGAGCAAGATCAGCTCCCTCCTGTGCCCAAAACCTTGGCGGGTGGGCCACCCCACTGGGCTTTTATGTGTTAGAACCCAGCCCTGGCATGGGGCAAGATGAGGGAGGCTGGAAGCTGGGGCTGCTTTTCTGTTTCCTTCTGGTGAAAGCTTTCGCTGTCTCCTCTGCTCCAGCTAACTCTGTCTGCCTTTTCTGCCACTCTCCTTTCCTGCCTCTCCAGATTTCTCTTCTTTAACTTCCTGCATTAACCCTGGGCCGGTGGTTCCTACGTCCCGAGGCTCCCTTCCCTTCCCCAGCTGCACTCATGCCCCTACTCCTGTCTTGTGCTTTATCCTGCCCTGCTCCTGCCGCCTGCCTGCAGCAGCGACGAAACGTCCATCTGAGGAGCCTGGGCCTTGCACCTAAGGCCATCTAGTGCCAACTCCCCCTCCCCCACCATTCCCCTTACTGCACTTTGGACCCCTGGGGCCAACATCTCCAAGACAAAGTTTTTCAGAAAAGAGGAAAAAAGGAATTTAAAAAGGATCTCCACTCTTCATGACTTCAGGGATTAATTTTTTTTATACGCTGGAAACTGACTCCCCTTTCCCTTCCCAAAGAGGATAGGACCTCCCAGGATGCTTCTCAGCCTCTCCTCAGTTTCCCATCTGCTGTGCCTCTGGGAGGAGAGGGACTCTTAGGGGGCCTGCCCCTTGTTTGCCATCACCAAATGGAAAGGACAAAGCCACACAGACCCCAGGGCGCCAGACCCTGCAGGCTGCGCTGGGCAGGCCTCAGTTGGCGAGGGATCGGGCAAAGGGCGTGCCTTGCCCGCCTGTGCTGCCTCTCCCAGGAACTGAAAAGCCCTGTCCGGCCAGGGGGCAGAAGGACTCATCACCCCTGGACCCCCAAATGCTGCATGAACATGTTTTAAGGGGCCAGTGGCCCCAGTCCCTCTCTTTTCCCTGGACTGTGGCCACGTGCTCCAGACCAGGTGTTTGCTCAGTTTGCTGACCCCAAAGTGCTTCATGTCTCCTGCTGACCCACTCCTGGGAAGGCCAGTTGTGTGTTGTGTTGCGCTTCTTTGCTGTTGGGTGGGTGGGCCGGGGAGGAAAAGGAAGCACAGAGCTGCTCAGTTGCCCCATGGGGCCTCAAGCACAGATTTCAGTTCTGGGCTCTGGTGTCCACTCACCCACTCCCCCAAATCAGACAAATGCCACTTTGTCTGACCTGCTGTGGCCTCTGAGACATGTTCTATTTTTAACCCCTTCTTGGAATTGGCTCTCTTCTTCAAAGGACCGGGTCCTCTGCCTCTTTGTGGTGCCCCACTCTACCCCAGCTCCCTATGAAGAGAGAGTTAATATATATTTTTATTTATTTGCCTTTTGTGTTGGGATGGCTTTGTGTCCAGTCCCGGGGCCCTGATGTGGCCAGCACACGTTAGGTGTGTGACCAGCGGTCCCGGCTAGAGGCCTAACGCCCTCACCCTCGTCCCACTTCCTCCCCAGTTTTGCCGACTGCTGATCGTTGAGTCACCCTTTCCTCTAAGCATGTATTCCAGACTTATCACTGACTTTCCTTCTGGAGCAGGTGGCTAGAAAAAGAGGCCTCGGGCAGGAAAAATGTTCCAATTCACTTGGAAGGCTGGCCTCTGGCTCTTCTGCCATGGATTCTCCCCCTGCCCTCTCCCTGCTTCCCTCAGCAATTCCTGCAAAGGGTTAAAAATTTAACTGGTTTTTACTACTGATGACTTGATTTAAAAAAAGTACAAAGATGCTGGATGCTAACTTCATACTAACCATCAGATTGTACAGTTTGATCTTTACTGTAAATATGGTAGAGTTTTGTTGTTTTTTTCATTCCCCATACTACTGAATAAACAGTTCTGTGTGGAGTCATTTCAGTGTCACCATGTGCTTCTGCGTGATGCGGTCTCCCCAGAGGGTGGAGGCTTGGATGTGGAAACAAAGGACCAAGGCCTGGGAAACCCCAACTGGAAGTCAGGACTGGCTAGTTAGCCGGCCTCTCTCTATGGGTGTCCCCCAGCAGTGCTCCTCAAACCTTATCATTGCAGAGCCCATGTCCAGGCAGTTCCAAAGATGAAGTGGGTAGGCGAGAAAGTGTCCTTTTCACCAGGGCAAGTGGACTTGCTAGGGAGGCTGCATAGAGCAAGGCAGGCTTTAACCCAGTCCCTCAGGGCTGAAGCCTAGACATGAATACATTCTGTAGCACAGAATTCTGTAGCTAGAAATGGCTGAGCAGCAGGTGGGAATTTAAGGGTGCTTAGTGATTATGGTAGATGCCTCCTGACTTCACTGCTTTGGGCCATGTTTTAACTACTGATATTAGAGATAAGTGAGGTCTGCAGCATGACTGCTAGACCTACATTTTGTGTTTGTCAGACTAGAAAGGGAGTTAACATGCGGGCAATATAGGGTGGTAGTTAGGAAGAAAAGCCAGGGAGATAGAGTGACTTACTCTTTCTGAGCCTTAGCTCCTCAGCCACAAAATGAGTATAACAGTGCCTGTCTTATTGCGCTTTTAAGAGCATTAAATGAGCTAACGAATGTAAATTGTTTAGAACAGTTCAAAGAGTATAGCAAGAGGCCAATAAACACTGACTTTCTTTGATACTGGGGTGCAAGGGGAGGTGGCAAGTATCTAGTCAGAAAAATAGCCAGGGTAGTGAGCAGGTCGATGAAGGAGAAGGGGAACTGCAGGAGGAGGCAGGTAGGCGCTGCCATGCCGCTACTGACGCAGTTTTGGAGTGGAAGGCAAAACTAGATCGACTCAGGATGCGAACAGGACCTGCCTTTCCCTCTCCAGCCACCAAGGGGCAGCAGCACACGGGTCTGTGGTTTGTTTTTGTCTCAACCACTCAAGGCAGGCCTGGTGTACCAGCAGCCCATGCAAATGTGCTACCTGACACGTAGGTGTGTCGGAGGCTTGCTGATGTGCCAGTGCCTCAGAACAGGAAGTAACCAGCAGCCCCTGCTCACTAGACACTAGTGCAAGAGGACCTGAGGAACACACCTGAGATTTCTTTGCTTTATGCCAAATTTCTCGACATTTATCTCCACAACCCTCTCCCCACACTCATTCTTGGAATGTCAGGCTGCAGGAGCTGCAGAGGCACAGGAAAGGTGACTAGGCACTTGTCACTGTGACCCAGGTGCACGTGTTGTTAAATGAACCTTAAAAAGGGGAGAAGGCTGAGGAGGGGTCCTGAATCAAAGGACAGGAGAGGGGGCATTTCACATAAGGGGATACTGGCATGGGTAGGGACACTAGTGGGCAATCTGACTCTTGCCCAGTTGCCCACTATATTCATTAAGTCATGGTTTAGCTCTCAAGGAGGAAGATTCTTTCAAAACTCACAAGGACTGGGGATTTAGCTGAGGGGCTCAAGAACTTGCCTGAAAAGCACAAGGTCATGAATTTGATCCCTGGTACTAACAAAACCCTCAAACTACAACAACAAAAAAAACCCCAACAAAACAAATTTCAACTCAAAGGAACGGAATTCGTTCAAAAGGGTCAAAGTCTGCAAATGATGTTAGACCCTAAGCTAAATCTGTTAAGAGAGTCTTGGTCATTTATTCAACAAACCCTCATCATCTTACACTCAAATATTTTCTAAATAAATGAATGAAATGCTCTGCTACAGTCACACTAGGGGACTGCAGAGGTTTATAAATTCTGGTGCCAGCACTCAAGTCTAGTAGGGAGGATGAGATAAGACAGACAATTCTAATGATGTGAGGAAGAATGTGACAAGGTGTCCTAGCACCTCCTCATCCCACAAGTATAGCAGAGAAGTAGCCAGAAAGTTCCCAGGAGCCCCTGCTGTCTTGGCAGCAAAGGACATTCAGGTGTAGGATAGAATAATTCACGAAGATCCTAGCATAAGAGCCTCACACTCCATGAATTAAGCTACCCTAATTTTAACCTGGTCCTTCTATTATCTGAACCTGTGGAGAGGAAGCCTGTTCTCATCAAATGCAAAGAGGGTAGTCACAGCCTGATGAGCTGGAAGCTCAAGGGTCTTGGACCTGTTTAAGCCTCTACCTGGGCGGTCTATCCTGGCGGACTCACTAGAATTACAGTGGTTTATTCTAAATTTGTTAGACGTTAGACCAGGATCCACTTCCAGATATCCTGAAAATATAAAAAATACATTCCCTTTATTTTACAAAAATGCAGACTGACAGAGTTATCAACTGGCCTGTAAGGAATCACAGAATTTACAGGAAAAAAGTTCTGGTGACCAGGTGCCTGCTTTCCCTCTCCAAACAGGCCCATGTCCAGTGGAGGATGTGATTCAGAAAGATCTCTCTTCAGAGAGCAGGGTTGGCTACGGAGGTCATTCACGTGTAAATGTGTCCAGTGAACCAAGCCTGGGAAGAAGATTAAGCTCTCCAGGGTGGACCGCAAGAGTGGGGACAGAAGAGAATAAGCCACTTGGTCTGCATTTCTCATTTTGTTTGTTAATCTCGCTGCTGGGAGGTGACCTCTTTTTCCTCTCATCTTCAGAGTTTGGGTTTCCTCCAGCTCAACCTGAATCCACCCCAACTCCTATGGTCTCTATTCCTGGGGATTGGGCCTGACGACATCTCTTTCTCCTGTTCCAGGCCAGGAATTTGGAGTTGGGCCCTGCTGGTACAGCTGAATCCAGGCAGTGACTGTAGTGGCTTGCTACTGAATTCCTGCTTGTGCTGATCTCTTTACCTGAAGAGACAAAAGGGGAACTGCTTTAAGGTACCTTCCTTCTTCAAGCCCATCTGTCACCCAGGTAAATTCAGCTCCTAACCTTTGCCTCAGGCCTTCCTCTTTAGGCCCAGTGTTTCCATAAAGAATTCAGGGCTGCTGGGAAGCCCAGAGGATGGGGTGGAGAGACCAGCCTTACCTGGTAGGCCCAGGGACTGCAACTTTCCTGGGAGGCTGCAGACTGCTGCGAGTGGCACTAATGACAGGAAGATTTGGTTGCTGGGAAAGAGCTTGATGGGGATTAGCAAAAGAAAGTTAGCAGAAAGTTCAACTGACCTTCTCAAGAAATACTAGCTGAAGGTAGAGTGCTGCCCCCAGTAGGTAAAAACCATGAAGTACTTACAAACCAAGGCTCAGACTCTCTACTCAGACCCACATTCTCCTAATTCAGTCTCCCCAGTTCAAATGGAATTTTAAGGAAGGTAGTGAAAGTGGTCATTGTTGCAGCTCTGGGATGCTGAGGTCAAAATTGTGGGAGCATCCGTTTTTTCTCCTGATTTCTTACCTTTATGTCCATTTTTCCTTACCTCTGTGTCCTGCAGCACTTGATCTTGGAAGCCCTTTCCGAGTTGACAGAGAATCAGGAGGCAGGGCACCTTTGCCAGCTGGTACACTCCGGTTGGTGAGTGGCATTCGGCTGGAGGGCCTGGGGATGGCTGAGGGAACGGGCAGTCGACTGGAACACTTAGCAACTGCTCCCTGTGGCCTAGATAGGCGTTGTGAGTTGCTCGTTGAAGGCTGAGGGGCCAGGACTGGTCTGACTGGGGTAGGTGGGCCTGGTGAAAAGGAGTAGAAGCATCTTAGGGTAAGATCTGCTTCCCTACCCTGTCACCCACAGCTTTGCTGCCTGAGTCTCACTTGCTGATGCCCTCATACGGGGCCCAGTTTTTCCCCGTGATAGAGTTGATCGGAGTGGAGGAGTGGATCGGAGTGGAGGAGTAGATCGGGGCGGAGGAGTGGATCGGGGCGGAGGAGTGGATCGGAGCGGAGGAGTAGATCGGAGCGGAGGAGTGGATCGGATTGGAGCTGACTGGAGCGGAGGAGTTGATCGTACAAGAGGAGATAGCGCTGGGCTTTTGGATGCAGGGAACAGATTGTAAGTGGGCGAATCCTGAAACACAAAAAGAAAGAAGAAAGAAAAAAAAAAAGAATGGAGGAAGAATCTGCTCTGTTGGTTTAAGGGATTAAGGAATAGATGTAGGGTGTTGTCTAGATCCCAGTGAGGAAAGGCAGAAATTAGCTGCCACAACATCATCATCATCACCACCATCACCAGTACCACCTTTTTTTTTTGTCTTTTTGGCACAGTTCTGGGGGCTGAACCCATTCCTTTGCAATGAGCTACATTTCTAACCCTTTTTATTTTCATTCTGGGAGAAGGTCTTGCTAATTCACTAAGTTGTCCAAACTAGGTTCAAACTCGTGATTCTCTTGCCTCAGCCGCCCAGAGGTCTGGGATTACAGACATGTGCCACCATACCTGGTACCAACATCACTCTTACTGAGTTTATTGTAGTCATTAGAGAACCTATACACAGACACTGTGATAAATGCTTGGGTTATGGTGTCTTATTTAAGTTCCCTAATTCCAAAGTTAGAATTACTATCCTCATTTGGCCAGTGAGGAAAGCACTGCCTGCAGCATGTCATATACCATTTCTGGGACACACATGCAACTCAACTTTCCAAACTCACCCTCTTCACAGTGGAGGGCCTCTTCCCAGACGTTGCCCTAAGAGCCCTGGCTGACCCCTTCTTATCGGTGCTCCGGAGTCGAGGCGTCAGGCTGCTTGGTGAGGGTGTGCTCCAAGCCAAAGAGCTCACAGTGGGCAGTAGATCTCGGACAGGACTGTCCTTCAGCACAAAGGTCTCCCGGCGAGGGCTGGCCTTTCCTCGTCGAGGCCCTGGGCCCTCACCTGAACTCTCCCGTTCTTGCAGAGCGCACTGCTCCAACTGAGCTGCCAGTCGATTGGCTTCATCAAGGATCTCCTCCAGCTTCTCTGGGCTGAGAGGGCCTAAACTGAACCTCACACCTTGGGGAGCAGAGGCCACAGTATTCGGGTTACTTCGATGGGAGAGGCCCCGTCGGAGAGGTTTCTCTGCTGTCGCCAACACTGCTATGTCTTCCTCCTCACGACTGAGACAGAAAACAAACAAGGCGACATGCCCACGTAAAAGAGCAGAGACCGTGCAAGGCAGGCTGAAACATCCCTACAACAAGACTAGAGACACAGCGCCAAACACTGATGCCCATTCCAGCAGTGACATCTGGCCTCTAGGTGGTGAGACATCCGGTTCCATATGCACCAACAGGCCTTCAGTATCTCTAACATTGGAAGTGATGCCAAGACGGAGATGCAGGGAATCCACTTACACTTGGCACACTGAAATCTCACTCCCACTCCATGCTTCTCTCCCTCTCAACAGCATCCTAGAGGTCTAAGTCCACCAGCTTACCCTGCAGCTCTAGTCATAAAGTGCCCAATTACCAACCTAATCTTCTCCAGAGGCCAATAAGTAAAAGCAGTGCTGGGGAAAATAGTACAAAAGGGCTGGTACCTGTCAGATGGGGACAGCCCTCCACAGTCCAAGGTCTCATCCATGATAAACTTGACATCTGAAGGGGAAAGAAGAATGAATGCCAACCTCTAGTCCCTGACAGTGGCTTTTCAAGGGAGAGCCTTTCTTCCCCCAGAGTTTCCTTTACCTTCCTCCGAATCCTCCATGTCCCGATAGCCGGAGAGGGTCACCTTAGAGCTGAGCTGGAGAGAAAACATATCTTTTCTCAGGTATCCATCCTACCCAAGATTCCCAGTTCACCCACGGTGCATGCCAGGGGACGAAGGCATGCAGGAGGCAGGCGAGTGACCAGGAGTCGCACCTTCGTGTAAGCACCGCTACCTCCGGGAAAGGTGCAGCGTGCTCCCGCCCCCACCAGGTGACCACCAGCGTCCTGGTCTCTCCTCCACCGGCAATGTCTAAACGCCCCTTCCTCGACACTATCCTTTAGGATTTTCCTGTCCCCGAGCCACCTTTCCACTCTCCCTGCCCCACATCCACTTCACGCCTCCAGCCTACCCTCAGATTCCAATGCCCGTCCCGCCCTACCTTCTACCAAAAAGCTTTCTTCCCAAAAGCCTCGTTTTAGGAATCGGCCCCCCAGGGGGCGGGGCTCCTTTCGAATTTCTCAGGCCCCACCCACTCCTGCCACTTGTGTACAGTGATTGGTGGATTCGGCCGGAAGTTGGCTGGTGATGGCAGGGGAGGCGGCACCGGACAAGCCTTCCCAGAAAGAGTTCGTCTCCCGGGGCCCGAACGAGGCGACGGGTGCAGGCCCTGAGTGCCCGCGTGTGTCCAGGAGCCCCCTCCCCTTTGGCTTCCAGGCTGGCAGCCGGGCGAAGGCAGGCTTGGAGGGGCGGAGCCTCCTCGTGGCGGCGCGCGCGGGTACGCACCAATGAGAGTGGTCTTCGCGCCACGCCTCACTCCCCCACTTCTTTCCAGCTGTCTCCCTCTCCTTCCAGCCTGCAGAGACCTGAGTTACTCAGCTCTCGAGCTCTCTGGGGAGATCGGTTTTCCGTGGGGCGAAATGAGTAGGAAAGCATTTGCCTGTGGTTTCTCAGTGACTTTTCCAAGTTCAAGAAACACCTAACCATTTTTATTTTAGATTTATGAGATTGAAAAGGACATCCATTGCCTTTTTAATCAAGAACATTCATAATACATCTTCTTACGACTGAGAAAGGTGCAAAGAAAACACAGGGAAAGCATCCAAGATGTAAAGAAAACTTGACTTTTCACATTGGGAGGTCTGGGTTCAAATGCAGTCGAGACTTCCGTTTACAAGCAGAGTAGGCTTGAGTACATTTGCCCTGTTTGACCTCTGCATGCTTATTTGTAATACAAAGATCGTGGTCTTCACAGTTACAGGATGAGGAGGATAATTATAAACATCAGATTTTTTGGACTAAAAACTGTTTGTGAAATGCTTAATCCTCCGAGTTAAGTTTTCTAAACGTGCATGAGAAACGTTCTAAAAATTTAAATCAAAAAAGCCCTAAGAGGATGGCAGAGGAGCTTTCTTGTAAACAAAGTTTATGACCATTATCTTGGGTTTTTTTTTTTCCCCTTCTAGGTTTGCTGGTAAAGTCGAGAGTGAGGCATGCAGAAGCAAATAAATGCTTCTGGAAGCAAAGGAGCTTTGGAATTTAGCCCAGTGATAAAGGAAACAGTGGAGAGGCCCAGGACTCAGTGAGAGTAGAGGGTTTGGTCTCTGCTGAACCAGATGGAATGTTAGTTCCTTGCAACACTCTGGTCTACAGAGGGTTGGAAAACCACAGTCAGTAGCTTTCCTCTCTCGGGCAAATGTTGGCACCGGTGGCTGTGAATTATCTGCATTCTTTCTTGCCCTGGGAGCAGCCTGAGTAGGACATTCCTACCCTCTTTACCCACCCATGGGGAGAGGGGTTAGCAACTGGTAGTTAGTTTGAAATCTGTTGTAGTACCAGGGGAAAAAAGCAGTGTAACTCCTTTTTTCTCCATTAGAATATCATCAAAGCACAAGAATTTGTCAGCTAGCATAAGGCCAGTATTCTGGGAAATACTGATATTTGCTCTTTGCCCTTCAACCTCAAAATGATGTGTGTGAACAGCTGTTTAAGATTTTTAATAAATAATGAATCACTGAAATCACACTCCTTCCCAGGCACATAGTAGGCCTTAAAAATTCAAGATATTCCTTAAGTGTCTAATACATAAAAGAAACAATTACGAATTTCAGTGCAGTATTCCTTAAATGCCAAAGGATTCACTGGGAGGTCTTGGTAAGTGTGAGGATTTTTTTTTTCTTTTACCAGGAAAGTTGAGAATGCAGGACCTTTTAAGAGAGAACCCAGCAGTTCTACAAATAACAGCAGCCTGAAGGCTGACTGATTCACCCTTAGGGCATCATAATAAGGCTATTCCTGTGCTGGGGGCGGGGGCGGGGGCGGGGGGGGGGGGGAAGACCTAAGTGTTTCAGCAGAGGTAAGCCTCTTAGCCTTTGTGTGCTTGAGTGGTTGGCTCTGGGCTCTAATCAGTCCCTCTCCTACATTCTCAAGCAGAGTTTCCATAAGCATATTAGGTCCTAAAAATGATTTGCACTACTTTCTCAAATTTCTCAAGCAGGGTACATAAGTAGTAACGTTATCAGGTTGGGGGCTGTGGGGACTCCTAGAGATTCTTTCTGAGTTCTATTTTTTGGTCTTTTTTGTTTTTATCGGTCAGGACTGCCTGCTTACAAGGCTGGCGCTTATGCCGCTGAGCTAAATCCCCAGCCCCTTTTCTGAGTTCTTCTTGTCCTAAATAAAGAACAAACCAGTACAAGGTAGTGAAATGTATATATATAAATTTTTCTTTTTAATCAGGGATCGAACTCACGACTGCATGCTTGCAAGGCAGGCGCTTATGCCAGTAAGCTAAATCCCCAGCCAGTATATTTACTAAAGGTAGGAAAAGAAACATATTCTGCAAAGCAAATGTGGGTCACCTAAAAGTAGGAAAAGAAATACACTCTGTAGGAGAAAGTGGATCACTGTGTGACAGACCACAGTGGCCAAGAGTTCAACAGCAGTTGTCTTTTGTATTTACTCCTCAGACATTAGCTCTAAGTCATCCTGTCAAAAACCTGTTGCAGTCCTTGCTAGATGAACTAAAGATAGCATTCTCTGATGGTCCCACCTACAGGGGTTTGGAAACTGCTTTTCTGTGCATTTCCTGGATCTCTATTATTGACAGGTCACACTCACTTGCTCAGCAGGTTTGCCAAACCCTAATCTCCTGTCTCACTGACTTCATAAGTGCATAGAAAGAAATTAATTTATAACATATGGGGGCTGGGGATTTAGCTCAGCGGCATAAGCGCCTGCCTTGCAAGCAGGCAGTCAAGAGTTTGATCCCTGGTACCGGTAAAAACGAAAAAGACAAAAAAAAAAAAAAATTTTATGACATACAATGGATGCCTTGTGACATTCTCATGGAACTCTTCCTCATGACAAGGATACTTTGCCTCAACTGAGACTGGACTGGTCTAAATAGAAGAATCTTTCCACACTCTTCTTAACCAAATCACTCCCTTTCTTCCTCAAAACCTTAATATTTATGGCCTCCTGGAAAAACTTTTCTTTCTTAAATTGATGATTCCAACCCAGACCAACTAGTTGAAAGAGATGAGAGGAAATAGGAAAGCTTTTGAGTTAAATCCTAGTTTTGCAGCTTTCCAGATATATGACTTTGGGGGATTTGTGAGCTTCAATTTTTTCATTTGTAAAATGTAAATTAAAAGAGATAAAAGCATTGCAAAGAAGGCTGTTTCACTTTTTAAATGTTTGGTTGGTTTCTGCAGTATGAAGGATCAAACCAGAGCCCTAAGCTTGGTAGGTAGGCAAAAGGTCTGGGATGTAATTCAATACAAAAGCCCTGGGTTCAACCCTTCCCTCCCCAAAAAGATACTGAAGGATTCCCTGATGGGCTCTACAAAATGATGGCAGCAGTTGTTTATTATTATGTAACAACCCACTTCAAAAGGTATGGCCTGAAAAACCACCAGCCATTCATTTCATTATGATTTTATATTTGGGCAAGACGCTTCAGGGATGAGTTTTCTCACCTCCACAAGGTTGGTTGGGCCTGACCAGGGCTGAAGGATCTCACATGGCCTCACGTGGTCTAGCACCATGGTGCTGGCTTTCAAATGTTTTGGTGTTTTCCATGTTTTGCTGTCCCCCCATGAGGCCAATGATAATCCAGTAATGTAGCCAGAGAGCTGCCTACCTTCCAAGAACAAAATCAAAATCTATTACACCTTAAATAGTAAAACTACTACACCTCCACACCAGGCCCAGAATTGCTACAACATTACTACAGCTAGGTGCTACTTTTGTCAAAGAAGTCACATGACTCAGGGAAAGGGGAAACAGATTGTAACTCTTGATGGGAGGAACACTTGGACATACAAAGACAGGAGGAACTGCTGCCATCATTTTGTAGAGCCCATCATGGAATCCTTCAGTATCTTTTTGGGGAGGGAGGGGTTGAACCCAGGGCTTTTGTATTGAATTACATCCCAGACCTTTTTTTTTATTTTTTGAGATAGTACTCTAAGTGGCTAATTTGCCCACACTGAGTTTGAACTTGTGATCCTCCAGCTTCAGCCTCCCAGCCTGGTGGAATTATCGGCATGTACTACCATGCCCAGCAGCCTTCAATGTCTTACTGGTTCTAAGAATGAAAACAAATATAAACAAGGGAAGCACACATCCAACATGCAGGGCTTAGGGCTGTACCTTTAATTAAGTATGAATGTATGTATGTGTGTATAAATACATGTGTGTTCATTTTGCTGTTTGCTACTTTGTGGTGGATGTGTACCCTGCTAATCCAGTTTACAGTGGAAAGCCTACAGAGGAAGACAGCAAGTAATTTTCTCCTCTTTCCAGCCTGTCTTACTGTATAGAGTGGAATTCGGTTCTGCCATACACTGTCTAAAAGGACAGTGTTAGAGACCTCTGTGGAAGAGAATGTGGATATGGGGAGAGAAAGAAGAGCCTTAGGGTACTGGAACTTCACACAGTTTGGCCAAAGGATTCCAACTTTCTAAATGTTTTTCCCATATGGAAATTCTCAAATAGAACACTTGTCTATTGAGGAGCCGCACATTTATTTAGATTACTCTGAACCAGACACTGTGCTAAAGTGCTCAAGAATACAGTCTTGTCCCAGTCAGGTTTCCTGGAGACCCTGAAAAGAGACATTATAGCCATTTTAGCAAACAGCCAGAGCACATCTGGGATGTGGAGCTGTCCCCCCCTCATGGTCCCTCCTGTCTGTGGATTCTTTACTTACTATGGTTTACATCACGCTGGGTACTGGGGGGCGGGGCAGCAACACTCACACCAGCCCAGCACAGCATTAACCCAGAGTGAGCAGAGACTCAGAACTCTCTTTGCAAGCCAGCTGGCAGAGAGAGCTCTCCTGAGGGGAATTCGTGCTTTTAATGCATCTCTTAGGGTTTTTATTTGGTATGTATCAAAAATGGGCTTAAATAAATGGCTTAAGGGATCAAATTGATTGTCAATTTTCCTCAGCCAAGAGCTCCAGTTGGAGGAGACAATGACAGGTACCTCTCTTGCATTCTCTCACAAGTTTCTTTTTCCCCCCACCTTACTCATCAATATAACACCGCATTTTTTTTTACTGTGACTCATATAGAATTTAAAGAAGCTACCAGATTCTAAATGATGATCTAGCAGCCCTTTGCAAATAATAGGAACTTCCTAATTAAACATTAAATTACTGTTAACATATAATAAAAATGGTGAGCCAGCTGTAGGTATAGCTGCATACCTATAATCCCAGTACTGGGAGGCTGAGACAGGATTGCTGCTAGTTTGAGGCTAGACTAAGCTACAAATTGAGTTCAAGCCTGGACTACACTGTGAGACTGTTTCAAGAGAAAGAAAGACAGAGAGACAGAGAGACAGAGAGAGACAGAAAGAGAGAGAGAGACAGAGAGAGGAGAGAGACAGAGAGAGAGAGAGAGAGAGAGAGAGAGAGAGAGAGAGAGAGAGAGAGAGAGAGAGAGATTGATTCTTCTATTAGGAAGGAGTGCATGGCATTTAAAGTACTGTAACACTTTGTCCTGTCATTGTTCACTCTGATACTCTGAGGTGAATACTCTTGGCTATTCCTCCATTCTTTCTTTCTTTCTTTGTGTATTTAGTTAGTCTTTTTGAGATAGGCTCTGACTATGCAATTTCAGGCTGACCTTGAGCTCACTTTGCAGCTCCAGCTGGTCTCAAACTCACAATGATCCTCCTGCCTCAGCCTCCCGAGTGCTGGGATTACAGGCGTGTGTTCCTTCACTCTTAATCATTCCCTTGATCTCTCTTCTCACTGTACCTGCCCAGATCCTTCCACAGAGCCCTCACAATTAGATAGAATTTCTTCCCCTTCTTCACACGACCATCAGGTTTGATTCCTGTCACCAACTTGGGGAGTACAGACATGCAAAGAATGTGACAAAAATCAGACTTTATCTATGACAAATTCCCTCCACAGGGGTGATAGTATTAGCTTTAAAAAAAGAAGTGGTAACAAGAAGGTATACAGTTGAGGGGCTCAGGAATATACATCTGTCCCTGACTGAACACCATGAGCCATGAAATGGGATAATCCCTGTGCCCCTTTTCTTACCTTCTCAGGTACCGTGTACTTGTAGGTTGTCTCAATAAGGAGCTGCAAGAATTCAGACATTTCTCAGCGTTAGCATCTCAGAAATATCTGGGAAACCTTTCAGAGCATTATGAAGGGATACTCTAGTTTAAGTTTGGGAGGGTCCCTAAAGAAGAACAGGACATATCAAAACCCATTCATTCCTCCTCCATGTACACAAACAGTGCCCACAATGTGTCAGAAAGTAGGCTGGACACTGCCTCTGCTTTGATTGTGCTTATAGTTTAATAGCAAACTGATATATAAATAATTATAAAACATTATGCTAGGTGCAATAATGGAGATCTAAGCAAGGTGTTAGAAATACAGTAATTATTTTAATTTTTATTATTATTAACAAGGTCTCACTATGTAGTCCAGGTTTGCCTTGAGCTCATGGAGTTACCCAGGTTGGCCTCAAATTCACACCCTCCCTTAGGCTGCCGGGTGCTGGGATTAGAGGTATGGGCCACTACACCCAGCTGAATGAATACTTCAAAGAGGTAGGGAGGATGTGCACTATCACCTTCGAACCAGAAAGAAATATAAAAGAAATCTGAGAAAACACCTGTAGCTTTCTGGGACTGGGTCAGAAGATTGTGAAGATTAAAGAAAAAGGACCTGAGTGAGGAACAGGAGCCTTGGGCCCTCTTCTCCTGGGCCAGCTCCTCATATAACTGATACTGGAAACCTTGGGGAAACCAGTTACCTCCATGGCCTCAGGTTTCTCCTTTGTAAATGGAAATAACCATTCTTTCTATATTACAGAATTGCAATGGAAAGCAGCAAAAACAATAGATAATAAAAATGGCTCCATAAATACATCCAAGTATTTTCTGACAGTGATGAGAGGGCCCAGAGAAGGAAGCCTTTCTCCACCCTGGCCTGCGTCTCTAGCGGCTGACTTTTCCATCAGGGGAGAGACAACACACTTGAAGACAGCAGGACCCCTCCTGCCCTTTTACCTTTCACATCCACCCGGCAGTCTACAGATGCCTCTCCCAGGGCATTGATTGCTTTGCAAGTGTAGATGCCTCCATCAAAGGGACCAGGCTTTCTAATTTCCAGCGAGCAGATTCCCAGGTGACTGAGGGCTCTGTACTTAGGGTTGCCTTGGATATTGATCTTGTTCTTTAGCCAGATGATCTTGGGCTGGAAGATAAAGATGGGAGGGTAGCAAGGGGGAGTAAGGATCAACTGCTTTTTCTTTGCTTGGCATTTGGTATTCTTTACCTACAAGGCTTGTTGAGACTCCCGGTCCCTGATGTGAGAAGAGTGTGTTCCAGTGTGTTTCACAGTCTCCCAAGCTTCTCTTGGTTGAAAAGAACACTGGAAACTCTCCCTTCTCCATCAAGTTATTACCGACAGGAAGAAAAGTGGTTCTTCTTCCTCACTACTTGAGCAGTCCTTCATGGATCAGAAAAGACTGATGCCTATGGTCTTGTATGTATACTGTGCATATGTATATTGTGACCCATCCATATTCTTTATATACCCACTTTTGGCTTGTGAGTAGTTTTCTTTCCCTCTCCTTAGAAAGTAGTTTTTAAAGCAGGTATATTGAAATTCCCCTTCCAGGATGCTACCTCCATGTTGTGTGAACCACCACTCAGAATCCAAGATACTTACTAAAGCTTGTTAATGATGTGGGCCATGGTGACCAGATTATAAATCAAAAGCCTCACTTGAGGTGGTAGCCAGTGGCTCACCTAGGCAGTTTGCATGGCCCTGCTCAGAAAGGTATGGATGGGTGAGTACGGAGAACCCAGTAGGACTCCATCTCTCCTACCAGATAAACTATACAAGGGCAGCAGGTCAGGAAGTGATATCTTTGTACATGAAGAACTAAAAGGAAACACATTTGTATTATCCCAGCTTGAAATACAAATGCCCTTACTGTTCCTAAGGAATCTGCTTTATAAAAGGCAGGTGACGGCAATGGTAGTAGATGTTAAATTAGAATGCTCTGCAACCTAGCTAAAGTCAGGACGGGACAGGAGCAGGAAGCAGCGCTCCTCCCCCAATTCCCCACTCACCTTGGGAAAGGCACGGACACAGCAGAAGAGCTGGGTATGGTAGCCGGTGACTGTAGTGCAGTCTACCAGAGGCTGGGTAAACTTTGGAGCTTCAGAGAAGTCACGTTGAGCAAATTGCTTGGTCTTGTAAATAGTAGCTGCAGGCATAAGAGGGGCCGTGATATACATCTGATAACCCCTTACTTCTACTCTTTTTCTCCTGCTCTCCTTAGTATGTGTTCTCCATTCCTTCCTTACCTGCCTTTTGTATGTGGGCGAGGTCAACAGTGACAGAGGCTGTTTCACTGAGTCCACACTGGTTTTCAGCAAAGACACGAAAGGCATAGGAGTTGCCCACAATGAGGTCAGAAACAACGCAGCTGGTTCGGTGATAATGTTCCAGCACAGTGAACCACAGCTGCAGGGTCCCCAGAAAACACCGTATGTGAGACGCTTGTTTTATGAACTCATCCCATGTGGAGCTGCCAGATGTTGGGTCCAGAATGTCCCATTCCTCCCTCCCTCTTTCCCAGGGAGGCCTCACCCCAGATTTTGTGTCAGCTTTCTGCACTGTGTATCCCAGGAGTGCGGTATTCCCTGTATCTTGGGGAGCTGTCCACTCCAGGGTAGCATTGGAGCCCCAAACGTCCACCAACTTAACACTCCGAGGAGGGCCTGGCCTCTCTGAAAGAGGAGAGCCACGGCAGTGACATAGTACAACCAGTAAGTATTGAAATCACTTCAAGAGTGGCCCTGACTCCATCTCTTCCCAGACCTCTACCCTTGCCCAGACTCACAGTTGGGGGAACATCACCCCAGCTTCCCTAGTTCCCTGTGATGGTGCCTTTTCAGCTGGGGCCCTCTTCACCTCCCACTTCCCCCAGTTTACCTATCACCAGGATGTCAACAGTGGTAGTGGCCTCTAGTTCACCCAGCTGCACACAGAGTTGGTAGCGGCCTGAGTCAGCACGTTGGGCTTCTCGGATGAAGAGGATGGAGTCTTGTTCCCCGTTACGCACACTCACTCGACTGGTGTCCAAGGCACATCCATCATGTGTCCAAGTGACTTGAGGTTTGGGCTTACACTGAGGAATGGGGAATAAGGCTTGAGTAGCCCAGCAGGTTTCTGGACCTTCCATGTCAGATCATCCCAAGTCCGCAGGGTAAACTGACTTGTAGCTGTAAATTTCTTGAGCTAGAGGTTGGTGGACTCTTCCAGGGGACCTCCTCCTTTCAGCAACAGCCTCACGATCATGAGGAAAGGGGATGGCTTTGAGTCTCCTGCCCTTTGAGAGTAGATTGGAGACACCCAGGGGAGCTGGAATCAACTGAATAGCTTCCCAAACTCCCAAGGGCTCTCCAAATTTAGAAGCTTCCAGAACTCCCAGACTGAAAGACAGGAATTAGTCTTACCTCCTCTCATAGAGCATGCCTGACCCTAACCAAACCCACTCTGAGGAGTGCAGAATGCATGAATTTAGCTTCAGAATTTTAGCAATGTGGCCATTCCTTTCAAGGCCAGGAGGACTGCCCCTCTGCTGTTGGGACCCTTGATAGCTGTTTTCAAATCAAAACCTGAGCGAAGGCCAGATTCATCACCTGGAATGGGATTAGTAGATTTACAGTGTCTCCAACCTTCCGAATGTAGGTCTGCCTCAGGGACCGAGGTAGCCGAATCTTGGGGTGCTCTGAGTAATGGAAAGAGAGAAAACAGGAATATTCAGAGGAAGCAGATACTGCATCCAGTTGCACTCTGCTGGTGGTAGCTCAGGTACCCTGCACCAAATAAAGGCTCTATTTTAGGTATGTAAATATTGCTTCCATTGTCTTTTTTTTTTTTTTTTTTTTTGTAGTACTGGAGATTGAACACAGAGTTTCAAACTTGATAGGCAAATGCTCTACCACTGAGCTATACTCCCGGCCCAGTACCGTTGTTTTGCTGGTATTTTGGGATACGTGAATGGCTGAAGGAAAGCATTGAAGTCTGTAGAAAGAGCATGAGAATGTGAGCCCGATGTTTACTTTTAATTTATCTCTTACTTACTGACTTTCCATCAGCTGGGATTTTGTTTCTGTAAGAGCACAGAGCAGTCTGGTCTGTATGCTCTGTCTTTCCAATCCTTTCCTATGGATCTTTAATAACATTGTTTGCATGAGGGCTGCTTTCAGTAAATATTCATTCTGACCTCCCAGTTTGTTGTGGACATAGGAGAATGCTTTCCACTCTGCAGGCAGAGTCAACACTGAGACTCCAGCAGCCTCCTTCGGAGACAGTACTGACATCATCACAGAGGGACCCAGTGTCTAGGACACTTCCTCTGGTGATCACCCTGCTCCCTGGCGCCTGCACAGTATTCTTCCAGTTGGTGGAGGATCACTTTGTGCAAACAAAATCTGGGAAAGATCAGGTCTACTGTTCACATTTCTGTTATCTACCAGGCTGGTACCAGCAAGAAATGAAGATTAGAGCGCATGTATTTGCTTCCTGGAGGAAGAAAGTAGATGCTTCATCTATGGCTTAGAGAATGACCACGTGTCATTTCTCTCCTCTCACTGATGTCTTGGGCTCCTTGGCTGGAATAGACATCCTACCTGGGTTTCCTGGGAGACGTGGGAGACTGACACCACTTTCCAGGCCTCCTAAGACCTCTGTTTCCTTCTTTCTCACAAAAGACAGTCCCCTGCTCTGTTGTCTTAAATAGAATGTAACATGTTTCAGTTCTCACCAACAACTCGGGCCTCCATGCCAAAATTCATTCCTTGTTGGAAAAATGCAACCCTTAGTACATTCCTGTGGCAAAGAACATGATGACTTGATAGCAGATTCCAAATTTTTGATTACACACATTTCCCTGTGAATATACTCCTGAGCATTCATCCTGGATACAAATGTGTTTTCTTACAGACTGAACTCTGTGAATATATAAATTATTTCTAAGTATAGTGGTGTATCCTTGTAATCCCAGCCACTTGGGAAGCTGAAACCAAAAGATCATGAGTTCAAGGCTAGCCTGGACAATTATCTTTTTTTTTTTGGTACCAGGGATCAAACTCATGACCTCTTGCTTGCCAAGCAGGTGCTTATACCACTGAGCTAAAACCTCAGCCCTGGGCAATTATCTTAAAAACAGTAAAACAAACAAAATCTGAAACAATAAAGAAGTACACTATATAAAGCAAAGATGTAAGTGATGACATTTAAAATAAAATAAACAGAGGTCCTACCATGTTCTTCCTGCAACTCAGTTGGTATTACTATATGCTCCTGCATTACTATATCAAGGTTAGTTGTCACTTGTAAATGAATACTGTCAGTATATACATTTTTCTCAGATGCTCATGGATATTCTCCAAAATAGATCACAGACTAACTCGTAGAATATGCTTAAGTAAATGCAAATGAATAGAAATTATCCCATGGATATTATCAGATGATAATGCAATGAAATTAGAAATCAACGGCAAAAGAAACCATAAAAATTCATAAATGCATGGAAATTAAATGATACCTTTCTGAACAACCAATGGGTCTCAGATAAAAATTAAAGGAGAAATTAGACAGTTTCTGTCATTAAATAATAAGGCCAATACAACAAGCCATGTTATGGGACACAATGAAAGTAGTCCTATGAGGGAAATTTACAGTGGTGCATTCTCACATTAGAAAACCAGAATGAGTTCAAATAAACAACCTAATGTTGAACCTCAACCTTCTAGAAAAAGAAGAGCAAGTCAAGTCCAAAGTTCATATAAGGAAGGAAATGATAAATATCAGAAAAGAAATCAATGCAACTGAGACTAAGAAAACAATAAAAGAATCAATGAATTGAAGAGTTGGTTCTTTGAAAGATTAAATAAAACCTACAAACCCGTAGTCAACCTCATTTAAAAAGAAAAAAAAAAGACTCAAATCTATGCAACTAAGAATGAAAAGGGTGGGCTGGGGATTTAGCTCAGCGTCATAAGCACCCATCTGGCAAGCACGAGGTCATGAGTTTGATCCCCAGTACCTAAAAAATAAAATAAGAATGAAATGGGTGAAATCACAACAGATATTTGTTGTGAGACCATCACTGTCTCACCTATTTTAAGAATCTGTGTTCTAGTAAAACTTAGAAGAAATGGACAGATTCCTAGATACATATGAACTACCAAAGCTAAATCAAGAAGATATAAAAATTTTAAGTAAACCAGTATCAGTCAATAAAATTGAAGATATAGTTAAAAACCTACCGACAAAGAAAAGCCCAAGTCCTTTTGGATTCACTGCTTAATTCTACAATAATATTAGAGAAGACCTAGTGCCACTACTTTTCAAACTTTTTAATAAAATTGATAGGGAAGCAATACTCCCAGATTCATTAATGGAAGTAAGCATTACCCTGATACCAAAACCAGAGAGGTTTTGATATCCCGGGGGGGGGGGGGAAGAACTACAAGTCAAACACTCTAAGGAACATAGATACAAAAATCCTCAATATGATACTGGCAAATGGAATTCAGCCAATCATCAAAAACATTATGCAGCATGATCAAGTAGGATGTATCCCGGGATGTAGGGATGGTTCAACATAGGCAAAACAATAATTATAATATATCATATTAACAGAACCAAGGACAAATATCATGTGTTTATCTCGATAGATGCAGAAAAACATTTGACAGAGTCTAACACTCACTAATGATTAAAAAATCCTATAGATAAGTGGAATAGATGGTGTTTATCTCAATCTGATAAAAGCCATCTATGAAAAACCAACAACCAACATCATACTGAATGGGCAAAAACTGAAAGCTTTCACTCTAAATTCAGGAAGGAGACAGGGATGTCCACTATCACCACTTCTGTTCAATGTAGTCCTGGAAACATTAGCCAGAGCAATTAGACAAGATAAATAAATAAAAAGAGTAAGAATAGGAAAGGAAGAAGTTAAATCATCATTTGTGCATGATATGATATTCTACATAGAAGACCCCCCAAAACCCACTGAAAGACTTAGATTTAATAACCAAATTCAGTAGCATAGTTGAATACAAAGTTAACACTCAAACATCAATAGCCTTTGTGTACAGGAATAACAAACTCACTGATAAGAGATATTAGAGAAACAATACTTTCATACTAGCATTCAAAAAAAATGAAATAGTTAGAAATCAATCTAATAAAGGAAATATTACAAACTGTGCTGCTGGTCTGGGATATAACTCAGTGGTACAGTGCCTGCCTGACAAGCATAAGGTCATGAGTTCAATTCCCAGCATCAATAAATAAGTAAATCATACACAAACTGTGCTGCTGAGATTCCATCTCACTCCAGAATGGTTATTATCAAGAAATCAACCAATAACAAATGCTGACAGGACTATAAGGAAAAAGGAACTCTTCTCCACTGATGGTGGGAGTAGAGATTGGTGTGGCCCCTGTGGAAATTAGTGTGGACATTCCTCAAAAAAAATGAGGACTAGAGGTTCCATTTGACCCAGCTATTCCCCTTCTGAGTATCTTCCTGGAAGAATTAAAAGCATCATATTGCAGTGATATATGCACACCCATGCGTATAGCAGCATAGTTTGTAATAGATAAATCTTGGAAACAGTCCCAATGCCCATCAACTGATGAATGGATAAAGAAGATGTGGTGCTTTCAACATAGTGAAGTACTACTCTGCCATAAAGAAGAATAAGCTCAATACATTCCAGCTAAATTGATGCACTTTGAAACTGTACTCTTAAGTGAAATGAATCAAACACTCACGTTTAAATAGTGCATTGTTTCTCTTGTGTGAGAAACTGAAAATGTAGGTAAGTTTCAAAATGTATAATAGATACTGGGAAAAAGGAAGAAAATGATCAAATGATTAGGGGAACAAGGAAAGGGGAGGGAAAAGGAAGGAAGGGACAAGAGAAAAAGAATAGAAGGGGAAAATGGAAACAAAGCTTTTGTAAATAAGGGGAAGAGGAATGGAGAGCAGGGAGGGGAACAGGAGAAAAAAGCAGGATATATTATGTATAAGCACAAATTCGCTATGATGAATGTTATCTAAAATGTACCCATAAAATTAGAATGAATACAAACGCACAGCACCATTTCATTTTTTAGTTTCCTCCAAGGCCGGACTAGACCTCAGGGCCTGCGTGCTAAGGAATGTGAATGCTCTCAGTAAGATCCGCACAGAGGAGCCGAGCTGCCAGCAGCACAGTCTCCTCCTCCAGTTGTCCTTGCTGACTTTGGTGGCTGGGGGCGGGGTGGGAAGCACAGAGGACTTATTGTGTGATGTGTTCCTCTCCTCTGGCCATTTTGGCAAGCAACCGAGGAGCTGAAAACAGGCGGATGTGAGGTTTTTTTTTTTTTTTTTTTTTTAAAGGACTGTAGTTGGAAAGGGGTGAAACCCCAGTCTTGTTGAGCTTGGCTCCCCACTCTTGGGAGGAGAAATAACCCTTCGTACTTGTTGAGGAAAGGGCTGGAGAGAAGACTCCGCTGTTCCTTGTGCTGCCAATGGACAGGCTGAGGTTTGGAGGCCTGTAGTGAACACGCAGACTAGAGACTAGGGTGATGGCTAGAACACAGAGTAACTGACTTCTGGGAACCACCTGCCTAGCTGTGAAGTTGTGCTTCTTATCTAGCATTGCTGATCAGAAGGACCCATTCTCCGAGCTGTCTACTCATCACTCCTCTGTCTCCCTCCCGCTGGGCGCTGGGCCAGGGCTCTGATGTGACCTCCAGTGACCTGGAGGGAGGCGGTGACAAGAGAAGGCAGGCAGAGGGCTAGACCTGAGGACTGCAAAGGCCTGAGATGGGGACGGGATCTGGGCCTTCACCTAGGTCTGAAAGGTATGTCAATGAGCCCTACTCTGCCCAGTTTTATGGACAGGTGCACGTGGTGAATGTTTGTTTCCACCTAGTGTTTCCTAGAAAAATACCTTAGAGCCAGGCATGGTGGTGCGCTCATGTAATCCCAGCACTCAGGAGCCTGGGGTAGGAGGATCATTGCAAGTTCGAGACTAAAAAGTGAGGCCAAGCCAGCTTGAATCCATACTAGACCCTGTCTCAAAAGAGAGACAAAGGGAAAGAGAGTGTGTGTGTGTGTGTGTGTGAGAGAGAGAGAGAGAGAGAGAGACAGACAGACAGACAGACAGACAGAAAGAGATATCTTGGCAAATTCTTTCACCTGAATGAAGGAAAAAAATGAATGGAATGTGTGGGACATAAGCTCTGGTGCATGTGTGTGGGCATTTGCAGAGGGACTTTTAAGACCTCAAGGGGATCCCAGTTGGGGCAGGGCTGGAGACAAAGGATGTGGTGGAGGCAGTTGGCTGCTCCTTGGAGGACTCCCATTCTGGTCCTTTATAAGTGGGATTCTAACAAGACAATGGAACTGAGGTTACCTGAGTGTTCCAGCTCCTAGAGGGTAAGTTGGTGGAGGTTCTGCACTCAGTAGGCAGCCAGGCCACTGGGAAGGCAGAGGATGGGCTTGGGGCTGACACAGCCCAGAGTACCTGAGGTGCAGAAGAGGACTTGGCAGCTCCAGATGCCTGGTCAGCAGCAAGTTCTCCAATCACTTCCCAGCTTAATCTGACCCTTTGCTTAGAATGTTAATATGTGGGCTTATTTGAGGCATCCCTTTTCACACATCCGCAGTCAGACTAGGTGTAAATTGTCCTGACCTTGGGCAGGCATGGTTTCCCTGAACACCCAAGACCTTTCTCCTACTCAGATGCCAGGAGGCATGTGAACCAAAGCCCAGAGAACCACTTTTCCCAGACTAGGTCTGTGACTACCCCAGTTTGGTTTTCTGCCTCCACAAGTCTTGGGGGAAAAGGAGTTTTGAAAAGCCCTTTGAGTGCCACTGATTTCTGAGTTGTGTTGCTCTAAACACTTTATTTCTCTTGGACAGAATGTCGTCTAATTCCTCAACAATTTTTAGAGAAAAAGATTATTTCAAGTCCAAAGATTTTGACTCCTCCTGACTAGAAAGTTCTTCCTAATTTCTTTAATTCATTCTGCTGAAATTTACGTGCATTTTATTATTCTATTCTCATGAGAAAGAATTCATTATTTTTTTAGAATTTTTAATAATTGGTAAATATTCTCTTATAATTTCTTTTCATATGGTTAGAGACTTTGCCCCAACTGTTCCCTAAAGGCCATGCCATTCAGACTGATGTTACTGTGGCTTGAGGAGTGAAGAAGGAGGTCAGACCTGTTAGAGGTGTGTGTGTGTGTATGTATGAGGGTGTGTGTAAATATTCAAACGTGTGTCTATGGTTACCAAAAGAGGACAATGCCCAAGAACAGTCATAGCTTTGAAGCTATGTATTTCCAGGGATCCAAGAAGTAACAGCATCTCTTAGAGAAACATTTGCTGATGTCTAGGATGTGGTCATGGTTTTGGAAACCTGTATGGAAGACTGTGATGGGAAAGGAGCATGGTGATCTCAGAACTTTTGGAAGGACAAGAGTGTCATCTCCTTGAAGATCATGAAACTAAGATCAGATAAAATGAGGCACACAGCAGGCAACATTTCTCTGGGATATAGACTCTGCTACTTCTACCTGCACGTCCCTGGCTTACTGCTTGTGACTCTGACCCTGCTGTAGTCATCATTTCTAGTGACTTCACTGCCTGTCCTTTCAACCCCTGCATGACCTTTCACATTCTAGTCTGCCACTTCCTTTGCCCTGTTAGCCACTGCACTCAGTGGCCATTCTCTACGTCAGGAAATGCAGGCCCTCTGTGATCTGAATTGTGAGCATCCCACCCTCTCGTCACCCTTATAACAGAGTCAGCTAACTATCCACAAACCTGATCTTCCCCCTTCCAAAGAGTAGTCGTCTTTGAGGATACAGTAGTTGCCCAGCTTGGCACATTCCCGTGCCCCTGCTGTAGAGCAGAAAACTAGGTTCTTACCAATGGACAATCAGTGGAAATGGTGGGAATCACTCTCGGGCCAAGGACTCTATGGAGTAAGTACTTCATGTTCCCCTTCTGCTCCCTGTATGCAGATGATCACAGGACCCTTAGGAATGGCAGAACTACCACTTTAAAAATGTTTGTGCCCCCAAATTGCTGCATGGAGAACTATCCACTCAACAGGTGAACTTGTTTTCAGATCTTTGGTGGTAAAAAACAAAGATCTGTGGTTTCTGAGATTTGTTTCATCAACTAATGCAATCTCTATTCCTTTAGGCTACTTCTTCTACTGCTGCAACACCAGCAATACTTTTCAGCACCGAGATGTTTGATCCTACCTCTCTTCCACTATCTAGCACCTCTCCCATGCGACTTTATTCCCCATCCAGTTTGGAGTCCATGGTCATTATGATGCTCTTTTGCATACTCAAATCCCTGTGTACTTTCACTTTACTGCATCTTCTTGGAATACCTAACTCTGCTTAAAGTATCTACCCCAGTGCCTGCATATGCAGACACACATGGCGAACGAAAGGATGCCCACATGGCCATTAATAATAAACACTGCCTGGAAATGGCCCTGACAATTCTGTTAGATTTCCCAAGTCCTGTTCCTTGATTCCTATTCTTCTGGGTGACTTGTGCACACCTTCTCTTCTAAAACCTCTCAATCTTCTCCCTCTTTCTTATTGTTTGATGATTTTGCTAGCTTCTAAGACCTACTTACTGACTCTTAACAAGTAACCATAAAAATCCCTAAAACCTGTGTCTGTTCACATCAGTCTGGACTTGAAACTTTGCAGTGGTTGTCTATCTGTCTCTGAGTCAAACCCAAATCTTCACAATACCCCCAGTTTTACCACTGTCTCCCTCAATGGGCTCCAGTCACAGTGGCTCCAACCCAAAAGCTCACCTCTGCCTCAGGGCCTTTGCATTTGTTGCACTTATGTTTTGCTCCTTTACCTGTTACACTGCTGCTCATGTACCACCTTGTTAATGAGGCCTCCACTGATGTCCTCTCTGAAACAGTAAGCGTGCATACTTCTAGCAACCAGAACTTTCTATCCCCTTGCCTCTGTTATTTTTGCCATAACATTTATCACCATCTGACATACTTTTTTACTTGTCTCTCTCCAGTAGAATATTTATTTTTGCCTATTTTGTACATTTCTATAACTGGTACCTAGAACATTGCCTGGCACATAATAGGTACAAAAATAAGTATTTGTGGAAGATGAACAGGGAACAAGGAAGGAAAGGAGGGAGGGAGGAAAAACTTGCTCCCAGATACAAGATTCAGCTTCCTGTACCTGGAAGATACAATAGTTTAGACTGCAAGATGACGCACAGCCAGAGAGTCAGTTTTGCTGAAACCAGCAGCTTGGCCTGCTCTCTTCTCTCTCAGAGTCTCATCATCTCCATGTCAGGGATGTAACCTCTGTCTTGGGAGCTCCCTCAGCCCCCTGCCAAGCAGGACACAGTGCTTCAGTGTAGTTCTGACACAGAGAACTGGCTACCATTGGTGGTCACATATTCCTGCTTGTTTACACATGTAAACAGACTTGCTTGAATGCATGCTCACTGTTGGTTGGTGGCAGCTGATTTTTTTTTTTTTTTAACATTAGGGAGGCAGTTGATTTTGATTTTGCAAAGTTCTCAAAATCTCGCACTGCCTAGCATCTCAAGGGATGTTTGGATGGACATTGGAGGCTCTGTGAACTCCCTGAACTTTTTGGTGTTTTTTTCCTTGGGGTGAAAGTTCACAGTTTTCATTACATTTTGTGATGTGGTTGTGAGTGGCTCAACCATCAAAGGGGTAAGACAGATTTAGTTCAACTTCTCAGTTTACAGATGAAGAAACATGGAGCCCAGAGAGGCGGACTAGTTTGCTTAGGGGAGCAGAACTGAGCTAGGACTTGAATTCCAAGAAGCTAACAGATGCACACATACATTTACAAAGTGTTGCTGGGAGAGGTGGCACAAGCCTGTAACCCCTGAGCTGGGAAGGCTGAGGCAGGAGGATTGCCATGGGTTTGGGACCATCCTGGTCTATACAGGGAGTTCAAGGTCAGCCTGAAATAGTGAGACTCTGTCTCAAAAAACCTAACTCAATCAATCAATCAAAATGTCAAAGAGTGTCCTTGCTAGTCACATCTGGATGCCACTCAGTTGAGCCCCTGGCTAGGGCCCCTGAGACCTGTAGTTTACAGAGCTGCCCCATGAAGATAGAAGGCTTCAGGCAGCCAGGGCGCTCAAGGATAGCTGCCTGCATTGTCGTCACACCCTACAACTGAGAAGAGAGTCTGGGTGAGTTGAGTGCCTGCCCCCAAGGGCTATGTGGAGACCAGTAGAGAGAGTTGGGGAGTCAGCAGTGCTGGTCTCACTCTTTCTGTCATTGACCTTTTCTTTGCTTATTTTAGGGGAAGAAACTGGTATTCTGCCTCAATCACCTCAGCTTGATATGTTCACAATAACTTCTGCTCCTCCCATCTTTTCTTCAAATAGGATGAATTTGACTAACTCTTCCTTGATATTCCAGTGACTTGTGAAATTCCAACATCTTCCATTAGGATGACAAACAGCAAAAAGCTTTTCCACATGACCCTATTCAGAGATAGAACTCTTGGCTTTTGGGAATATTATCTATCTATTCATGTTTTGGTTTAGCCTCTTCCAAGGCACTCTGGATTATCTCAACAACCCTTTTATCTACCCTACTAGGTACATGTCTACAATCACTATTTTACAGAAAGGAAATTGAAACTTGGAAATTAACTGACTTGTCCAAGGTCAAAGATCTGCTGGAGGCAGCACTGGAAATGGAACCCAGATTGTAGTCTCCAAGTTCAAAATGACTCTTCTCCTCCTATGTCTTCCTATCCTGGGAATCTATGAGTCTCTCATTTGTGGTCTTTGCATGGTCTGCATTTAAGACTTTGGGAGCTGGAAACTGGGACTTTCAGAAGCTCTATTACACATTTAATATAGCCTTGCAGCTGCTTCTAAAGATTATAAAGCAGGAGGGAAGAGCTGGTATCTACCTGCTGTCTCTCTCTCTGGTGTGCTGAGTCAGGTGCAGCAGGAGACCCACCTGGGCTTAGCTCCCAGAGATTTCCAAGTGAGCTACAGGGCCCTTGGCCAGGACCATCAGGACCAAGGGCAACATGGGGTTGGAAGAGGGACCAAGCACTTGCTGGCTTCAGAATTCCTTTTTGCTGAGACTACCATGAAGGGAAAACTAGCTCATCCCAGAAGGGCTCCATTTCCATAGTCCTCCAACTCTGAGGGGTCAGAATTTCCCATGGGAGCCAGTAGAGGTGTTGAAGTGGGTCCTGATGCCAGGACACGGCCGGGAGCAACTGAGTGTCACTGCTGCTTGACAGCCACTCTGTACCAACAGCTTTTGATTCCCCTTCTACTGCAGACAGCCGATATGATATCTCACTCCTCATTCCCTTCCTGACTGGTCATTAGTATATCAGGTCTTTCCAGCCCCATGACAGACATCTTTTTGGGGGGTGGGTGGGTACTGGGGATTGAACTCATGATTTTACACTTGCCAGGCAGGTGCTTATGCCGCTGAGCTAAACCTCTGGTGACACACATCTTTCAAAGGCAGAAATATAAACACATAATTTTTTGTAACTGTAAAGTACCATGAACACCATTCACTGACTCCTTAGCTACAAAACCAAAACACAGCAAGGAAACTTACAGCAAATAAGAATTCAAGGAAGAGGTTGGGATCTCCAGAGAATTAGCCTGTATCCTAAGTACAGATCCCATAAAGACATTAAGCCTTGTAAAAACCTGAGGCATTGTTAGGGCAGTAGGGAAGTCCTCTCCAACTCCCACCACCCGGCCTCCACCCCTGACCAGTTTGTTGCCAAGAGTCACCTTCCACAGGAAGCAGGAGCTGGGGAGTAGAGCCACAGGGCCCCTGTCGAAGTGAGGGCTGGGGTCCTTCAGCATCGGCTAGGCTGGCTTCTTTCACCTTCAGCTTCGAGCCTAAGGCCACCTCCGGAGCTGTGGCTGACTCCATGCTGGGCCAACCCAGAGGCTGGGCTCCAGCAGATTTCACTGTTGGTGCTAGGGAGGGGCTGAGCACCTGCTATGCAGACTGGCCTCTGGGGTCCTAGCCACATGCTTATGTAAGTGGGCTGGCCTTTTTCCACCTACCTAGCCCCAGCAGAAGGGTGAAGTATGGGTTAGGGGAAGAGAGGAGGATCACAGAGCAGCCCAGAATAGTCACAGGAGGAGGGCTGAGGTGGCTCTGTTATCTTGGGAGAGAGATGACACCCCTCACAAAGCTGGGGAGGGAGGAGAGCACTTGAGCACAGAACATACAAAAGGGACCTCTGGCTTCTGTTGAGAGGATTGGGTGACAGTTCAGCTCCAGACCTCTGGCTCATCCCATAAGGTCCCAAGATCCACTGATTCACGGCACACCTTTAGCTGCACCCACATTGAGTAAAGTCTCTTTGACTTTTAGGACCTGCCTTAACCTCTCTGCCCATTCTTTGCAACTTCCCCCTTGAAAGGAAGTAGTCTTCAGTGGTGGGCTGAGTTTGCTCTCTGCAGGCAAGACTACCTGGACGCTGTATGGGCTTTGTGACCAACTACCTTGAGACTCACAACACACAGACTCTTTCCTTTCATGCTGGAGGTTGAATGCAGCATGCTAAATAAGTGCTCTACTACTGAGCTGTATTCCCAGTCCTCAGTCTAAGTCTCTTTCTTAATTTGTAAAAAGGAGATAATAATAACCACAGGGTTATTGTGAGGATTAAAAGAGGTAATCTCTATATAAAGTGCTTAGTGTAGCTGACAAAGTGCCTGATAAAGGAAGCTATTTTTAGGTCAGGCCATCATTTCTCCCTTTGAAAGCTGTATCTCTCTTCCTGAGATACAACACAAATGAAGTGGGAGGCAGCAGGGGTAGAGCTTCGCTGAGGGACCTGTCATTTCTGGCTGTACCACTCAGTTACCAGTTGGTGGCTCAGAGCCACAGGTCTATGAATCAAGAAATGTTGATGTTGTAATTGTATAGATGATAAAATGATAAAATACAGGAAACTGGCCAGCCCATAATAGGAACTAGTTATGCAGTAAAGGACCTATATGGATTCCTGGCATACCCAACTCTTGTTCTATATGTGTTAAATACTCCATCCAAATTATTCAGTTTCCTGTCATACTCCCACTTTCCTGTCTCCAGAAGTCAGCATCTCCTCTGTATTTTTTTTAAAAATATACTTTATTTTTAGAGCAGTTTTAGGGTCACAGCAAAGTTGAATGGAAGAAGTGTTCCCATATTTCCCTCCCCCACACTTTTTTCCATGGGGAAAAACAATCAGAGCTGTAGAATGAATGGCTGCTTACTTTAGCACCCTACATGGGGGCGGCCAGGAGATTCTAGGAGCTTTTGTTATTATCTTGCAGTGATAGAATTCCAGACCCTTTGCAATCTGTAAAGGGCCAGGACAAATTACAGATACACGATAGGGTCAGGAACCTGCTTGTCAGGCCCTGAAGCAGCTGAAGAGGACAGCCTAGGGGACTGACCTCTAGGTCTGGTTTGATTGATAAAAGGCCAGACTTGTACCCTCTTGGAGCTAGTATGAAGGTCTCCTTGACCTGTTTCTCCTATGACCCAGCCAAATCCCCTAGAAATATCTGTGTCACATTAGGTGACTCCCTTATACTCACTCAACCCTGAAGCTTTCAGTCTTAGATCTTTGTTGCAAGGAAGTTAAGATGAAGATTTCTTGGGTCTACCCATCAGAAAGTCTTAATTCAATAGATCTAGGGTAGAATCCAGGAATCTACACTTTTAAGAAAGCAAGTTGTTGGTTCTGAATACAGTAAATCTTAAAACATTGTTAGAATTCTTCAGACAAAAACTACTGCAAATAAGCTTGTGGGGTTGGTATGCTCCCACCAGAAGGTGGCCTCTTCAGTAACAAGGCTTTACCCTGATACCTCTAGACCAAGGTGCTATAGCTACATGGAAATATTGGCTCAGAACAGCAGAGCAGAATGGCTGAAGGCTGAAGGTGGAAGGGCAGGAAGTCTCCTATAGGTGACACTTGGAAGAAAGCTGCAGTTCTTTGAAGGACTTTGAATAAATGCAGCAAGAAAATCTAAGAGGGGTAGACTAAAAGGTATGAAGGTTAAATTTTAATGCTGTCATTTTTCAAGTTTGCTACAAGGAACACAGAATCCAGGAGAGTAAAGGTACTTGCCATATTGAGAAGGAAAAGAATAGCAAGAGAAAGGCTAGAAGGTATGTGGGTAGGTCTTGAGAGAGTTTCTGAGGGTAAGACTACATGCCATGAGGGGTAGATCTTTATAAGAATAAAGAACAAGAAAGTCAGATAAGTTTTGGGGGAATAATTCACTTATTGGGAGAGTAATTTTCACCACAAATTACCTAATACTTTTCTTACTAGAAATGTACAGTCCTGGCTCTTTAAAAGGTTTCTTTGCAGGTTGCTGGGTTTTGATTTTTCAAAGCTACAAAAGTGGAAAATCCATCATATTAACAAACTATAGCTTAGTCATCTCAGTAGGTCAAGTAACAAAGTCCAGTCTGTTTTATTTCTAACCCAAATATTGCAAATATACAGAAAATTACCAGTACAAAGTTAAACACATCCAGATTTATTTACACAATGCTAAAGAAATTTGAGTTTATTTCCATTTGTGGGATTTCATTGTGGGGTCTGGCTTTATTGTGTAATTGACATGGGTCACTGAAACTTGATTATCTCACCTTACATGCAATTTTCTGTCCCAAGGGAACAGAAAACTTGGGTTTTCAGCACACATGCAGTAATGATCTTAATACTGCTTAACACTTTCATAGGAAGGCAGTTGTCTCATGATTTGGAAGGGACCACATGCTCAGAAAGGGAAAGAGACGAGAGAAATAAACAACAGGCACATGGGGACCCTGAGCATTTCTGTGCACGAGGATAAGAGAGTACAATCCAAACCCTCCTCCCCAGAGGTTCAAACACAAGAGGTGGGCAGAACCACCAGGGGACATAAAGTCACCCAGCCACAACTGAAGGCATGCGGAGGATGAAAACTGCATTAAAGATTTAGGGATATCAATAAATCATTAACATGTACACTATACAGTATATATATGTATATATGTACATATCTATATATATATATATATAAAGGTACAGATTAGTTTGTTATTCCATATAAACAAGAATGCTTAAGGATGTACTGGTGTGAAAAAACTCATAAGCAAGTTGTTGAAGATAATTTCAAATTAATGTTCTAATTCTTACTGTTATCAACCTAACTAAGAACTCAACATGCTCCTGCTATTCCAATTATCCTTCCTAAGGGTAGGGCTGGACTCTGCTAGGGCAGGACAGTGCTTCTAGAGTTGCCTGCAGTGGATAAATCAGTATCAGATGGAATAGAAGTCCGGCAACTGATGTCTTTGGCCCTCCCATTCACTACTTCACATGGGAAATCTTAAACTTTGGTTTTGTTTAAAGGACATTTAAGTTCATGTTAATTTCCCTGTTGGAAAGGTGGCAGAAAGTTGCAAAGGTGCATCTCTTCCTATTTTAGCAGTTCTAAGCTTCTTAGCTTAACATGGGGATGAGAGAGCTGTGCTGACAATGAGCAGATGAGCCCTTAGGTACTGTGTACAGGGGTAGGGTTCTTTAGAGCTCTCCTAAAAAGGCTCTTTACCTAGAAAGCCAGGCCAGCCCTGACACCCTGGGCCTGGTATAGCTGACTCTGTGCCTCTCTCTGTATTCTAGTATTATGATGAAGGCTAGAGGATGTCCAGTTATAGTTTATATGCCTAGGGCAGGAGCTGGAGGCGGCCAGCACATTACTAATGTGTCAAGGATGAAAGGCCAGCTTATGCATGCCAAGAACCAAGACAAACCTAAGAGTTAAGAGGGAAGTTTATCCTATCCAGAGGTGAATGTCAATTCCCAGGTTCAGGTATACAGATGCTCTTATATGTCCAGGCCCCACAGCTACCACAACTCTCCAAGACTTCTAGTTTTTGAAGTAGTGCTGCCATTCAATTCACAGCTTAGGCACTTTCCATGCTGTTCCCTGGTCTCAAGAAAAATAAAGTCCACTAGATCTTCAATAGGAAGGATTCTGGATTTAAGAGCTCAGACCACTTTGGACTGTTTGATTATGTCCATCCTACCTAACAATGCTAATTTTCATTGCTTAAACCTCCAGAAATCTCTTTTGCAGCTATCAAGCCTGGGAGTTTATATAGGATATGCTAGGTTTTAATGTCAAGGGTGATCCTCCCAATCTTAGGACAAACCATAAGTCTTTTTATTTTAGAAGCTGTAAAGGATTTAGGTTGCTTTAGTCTCTAGCAGAGGGCACACTTTTGTGAGATTACTACAGAAAGCTAATGAGCCAATAAAGGGAATGAGCCAGGCTAATAGGCAGTCCTAATGCAACAGAGCCACCAGCCCAAGATGGGAGCAAAAGCATGGAGAAGGGGATCCATCCTGGGACACTCACACCTGTGTTCCTCAACAGAGACCTGCCACAAAGGGAGGGCCTGTCCCTGAAGACACATTCAAAACTACCATTAACTTTGTTTTCCACCATGAAAAACAGGAAAATAAATCTTGTTTTCAAAAAGAAAACGAAAAGGTGCTAAATAATACTCTGAAAGCAGTGCCACTGACCTCTGTGAACAGTGAGTTACCTCTGAGAGAGAAGCTCTGCTCCAGGTGTTCAGCACTGACTTGCATAACAACTCCCAGAGCTCTGAAGACAACTACCCAGTGCTGCCCACAGCACGCTCAGGAACCTGGACGACTGATCGAAGCTTGGTTCCTCGATTCCATCGTGGGAACACTGGGGCTCAAATGACACAGTACGAGTAAAAGTGCTGAGGAAACTGTCGACTCTACATAATATGTAAGTGAAGAGCTCCCTTCTACGTTCAGAGAACAACATTAACCCTCCTATATCTTAAAACTAATAAAAGGGTTCCTGGATATTGGCCATCTAATCCACATCCATCTGGTTACATGCTGGGAGAAAAGGTATGTGATGTAAATAAGTCTTTTCTGGGCATCAAATTCACTTTGGGCAGGAGGTAAGAGCGGGACAGAGGCTGACACCATTTGTGAGCTGGCATAGTATCTTTGGATTTAAAAATTTAAAACCATGTAAAATGAATTGAGCTTAAAGCTAGTATACGCTAGCCCTCACAAATATTCTCTTCACAAAAACTGCCCTAACTTCATTTTCAGACAGAAGTTCCCTGACTTTTTAATTTTACTGCAGTTTTGAAGTTTCTCAAATTCTCCATTCACTTCCTCCCCGTCCCTGCTGCTGCTCATCCGTTTGGGGGAGGAGAGAATTTAGCCATCTGCTAACACCTTCTGACAAGTTATTTTGGCACATTTACTTTTTACTGACTTTTTATCCACACAGTGAACCAGCAGCAAAATGGCACCTATCAAAGCATCTCCCAATTACTGGGAGAAACTGTGACCAACACAGTAGGTAAGGGAAACCAAAGACCGACCATACTATATTCCTGTGTAGCAAATATTCAAGCATGTATTAAAACTAATTATTGCAGCTTTCCATTACTATATGGCCACCAAAAACCCACCCAACCACATTCTGTAATTCATTTAATTTGGAAAAATGTCAAATGGAAAACTCCCTTAAATTTAAAATATGAGCATAATATATTAACAAAGAATCAAGACGAGAAGTGTGTTTTCATTTGGTTCAGCCAAAAGTTTCATGCCAGTAAATGACTTGGCAAAGCAGAGAAGAGGTGAGAACAAGTGCTTAGTAATAAAAGGCTGATTTTAAAAAACCTATGAGTCTGAAAACATCTCTAGTCCTGGCTCCATGTACAACAGCAACCCAGGAGGAAGCACGTAAGCAGCCATTATAATGGTTCAATCGTGAGCGGACACTACAGGTGCGAAGGGAAAATGGAAGACTGCGGAAGTCAGTCCCCAGGGCTGCACTGTGTGCTCACCGATCAACGCTGGCCGGTAGAGATGGCTAAGCCGGGCAGACTTCCAGGCCCAGCCTGTATACTGTCCTTGAGCAAAGCTACTGGCACACACACAAAGCTCTAACCGTCTCGGAAGCAGCCCGTTCCGCCTTTAATAGGTACTAAATCTAGTCAATTCTCTGTTGCTCCCTTATTCCTATCCCAAGTTAAAAATATTGCCCTGAAGTTTTCCTGATTTAGTACCGTGGAAGCACATGGTTAAGTTAGTTGCCAAAAGGCAATTAACAAGTGTATTGCCTAAACAGAGGAAAAGAAAAATCAATGTGTTTTTGTTCCTTAGGGGAAAAATAAAAGCAGCATCAGAATCTGTGTGAGGAGCTGATAAAAAATGTTCCTGGAGTAGAGCTGTCCCCAGATGAAGAAAAGCTGGCCAGGCTATACCAGTCACTGCAGCCTCTGTTTTCCTCTCCGAGGCTGCTTCACATGACAGGCAGAGCCCAAGGACAGCACTGCATACACTGTGAGCTGATGCTGGAGTCAGTAGATGCTCTGAGGCGGGCGCCAGAATAGGCAAGAGTGAGGTTAGTGAAACAAACCCTTTGAATTCCATTTCATTTCCTTTAAAACAAAAACAAAAACAAAAACAAAACAAAAACCCCAAAGAAATCAAAATCCAAACAGACCCAAAGCCTATACTTAAAAAAAAAAAAAAAAAAAAAAAAAAAAACAGAACTTGAAACAAAAAGAATTTAAAATTTCCCCTTGTTCAGAGCCAATTTTAAGAGTGTGGAGGGTTTCCCATCCCACCCTGAAGTTCTTTAGTGTAGGTCCTTTTGGCTTTGATGGAAGCAGCAGAAACAGAGCTGGGTCCCTTGAAATGGGAAATTTACTTCCCCAAATTGGAGTCACAGGGAGTGTAAGAGGTACGACGGTTCCACTCTCTGTGCCTGGTCCCAGCTCCTTGGAAGAGCTATTCCAGGAGGTCCTGAAAGAAAGACATATGCCACATTATTGACAGAGTGATATATTACTATTTTGAAAGCAACTGTCTAGTTCCTGGGCTTGCCAAATCCTACAGTTCTTAAGGTGCTGCTTCTAGAGTAAGCCTTCCTTTGCTTTAATTGTGTGTATGTGTGTTTGCGATAGTATCTTGCTATGTTTCTCAGGCTGGCTTCTAACTTGCAGTGATTCTCTTGTCTCAGCCTCTTGAGTACTGGGATTATAGGCATACATTACCACACCAGTTCAGTTGTGTTTTGACGGTGAGTAGAAGAATCAATTTTTAAAAAATATTTTTGGAGGAAACTTCCAGAAGAAATAGCCTCACCTCATCTGAGTCATCATGATAACCACTCTTATTAGCATGGGAGGCTGTGTCCAGAGCGTCCACACCATCAGCCTCTGCGTGCTGCTGTAGCACAGAGTATCGATGCACCAGGAACCTGCCAATGAAAGCACGTGGTGAGCAGCGTACCTGTCCTACATACTTAGGGTTTACACACTCATGGGGAGCAGGTATCACGCACAGGCATCACAGCCCACAGCTGACATACAGAAAAGCATAGGCTATGACAAGACTTGGATCTGACATTTTTGCAACATCACTTTAACTACCTAGTTTTAGCCAAGGGCAGGTTCAACTTTATGTGCTTGACCTCGTGGTTTGAATTTGGTACCCCTGAATCCCTTCCACATTCCTTACCTTCCACCACAGACATATTTCTTCACAAGGAGCACTCCTGCTACAACTGTGACCAGCATCAATCCCACGATGGCCAGGATAATTGGAACAGAGTTTGACTTGGAATTCTTGATAAATTAAAACATAAAAACATTTTAGGTATGTATATTCTAATTCTAGGACTGCATTCAAAAGTGGCTGCTCATTCCCCTTTCTCTGAGCTACCTACAGCCTGAAGTACTTAATGATGTTACTTTTCTAAATCCACCCAAAGATGGACCATCTCAGCATTACCAGGAGACAATCACAGCAGGCAGGGGGATCAGAACTCCGCTGCTTGGAAGCTACAAATGAGTTTCAATGTCAAAACTATACTAAACCTTGATGACTGACTAGATGAATGAAACATGGTGCTGATGACAGTCCCCATTCCTGTTTACAAGTCATGGAGCTGAAGGGCAGAGCAGGAAAGAGACACTATGATAATAGTGGGCTGAATGAACCTAGGACAAAATCACCATTTGGATGATACTATGCTAGTTCTATATGCAGACCATTCTATGACACCAAGGTTTATGTTTTTACTCAACTTTTGGTATGTTTACAGATAAACCATATTATAGCATTGTTTTTGTGTAACCTACCTGCTTCTGGGTGGGAGATAGGAAGTGTGTGTTTTCAATGTGTCCAAGAGGAGGCGGAGCTGGATTCTGGGACAAGCTGTGTCCCTGTGGGCGGGAGTCCTGTGCAATCACACACACAAACACTCTGAGGACAGCCACTAGGAGCCAGGGCAGGGGTGCAGAGAAGGTGGAACCTATCCCCCTTACAAATACACACACCCACACACTCTTCTCCCCTTGCCTTCTTACTCCTACCCTTTGTCAGGCTCTCATTCTTTAAAACAGCAGGGGGCAGGTGACTGCAGACTGTCCAGCTCAACCTCTTATAATATAGATTAGGTGAAGGTGTCCCTGGCTCATCTCTCAAGTCGTATTACTGGTATTTAGTCGTATTACTGGTATTAAGAGTGTTCCTCTTCACTTTATCTCCAGATCCCAATCAGATAGTTCAGCATCACAATTTGCAGTCAGCCTCATAACTTGCCTTTAAATCAATACCAGCCCATTATTACCATAGTTTAGCTTCTCATTCTGAATATATTGGCAGGACTCAGCACAACAATCCATTCTACCTACCATCCAACGCTTTTCTCCACATGCGTAGAACTCTAAGTCATGGCCCTTTTACAGTCAACCACCTCTCTTTTTTAAAATTCATTTTAAAGTTTTTGGTTAGCATGTTATAATTATACATATTAATGGGGTGCATTGCAATACTGCAACATATGCATACACCATGCACTGACAGCCAGCCTTGATTCCTAAATGATTCTGAGCCTCAGAAATTTTTACAACTTTGCTTCTAAGATGTTTATAACTTTATAGGATATATCTTTTCCTCAGCCAAAAGGGCTGTTAATAAATGAGTTTATTATTGGTTTATGTGACTTATCTGTTATCCAAATACTTTCTTGTGCAAAAAGAAGTCTGATAGCAGTGGTTTGGCCACTTTGTATCAATACTATGATTCTTGATGCTACAAACTGATCCTTCCTGACAGAATATGAAATCCCATGTGAATCTAAAAATTGTATCTAATGTACCTGCTTTTTGGGACTCAAAAAGTTGCTTGTGCATTTCTTTTTCAAGTCTTTTACTTCTCGAGCTGGATTCACCCCACCTTGGCATCTGTCTCCTGGAATTTTCCGGTACCTGAAAGTCAGAGATTTGCTTACAGGATTTTGTGCTTGATGGCAGTGATGCTTTCCAGTCTATGTGTATAGTTGGTGGCTCTTGCTTCTGGGGTGGGGTGTACTGTATTCTTGGCAGGGGCAGGGCCCAAGCTATGGTTGGGATATTGGCAGCAGGTGGACAACTGCTGCTACAAGAGGTTTAGGCCCTTATGTTTGGCAAACCATAAAACACACAGAGGCCCAAATATTCTCAAGTCTACTGAAATCTGCCTTCTGTGGTGCCTTTACAGTGGTGGGTTTGAACTCAAAATAACAAAACAGGAAACATCATTAACACTAGGTGTAAGCCCTATTGCCAATAAAGAATGAGAGATGCTCATTAACAAAAATGACCATCCAGATGAAAGAGGATCTCTTTATACTGCCAAAACTCACCATAGCAGAAGGTCTGTCTGGAAGGTCAAATAAAAAAAAAAATGTATGATGAAATTTGTTTTATTACTTTATGTATATGAATGCGATTTTTTTTCTTTTACTTGTCCAGGTTTTTATAATAAAATGACTCAGAGCTGTGAAAATCAGGGAGGAGGAGCTGGGTGTGGTGGCACAGGTTTATAATCCCAGCACTCAGGAGGTTGAGGCAGGGGGATCATTCCAAGTTTGAGACCAGCTTGGGCTACAAAGTGAGCTCAAGGCCAGTCTGGACTGCATAGTGGAACCCATGTCAAAAAGACAGTTAAAAAATAAAAATTTAAAAAAAAAAATTTTTTTTTTGGCTTTTTCGTTTTTTACCGGTATCAGGGATCGAACTCACAACTGCCTGCTTTCGAGGCAGGTGCTTATGCTGCTGAGCTAAATCCCCAGCCCCTAAAAAATAAAAAAAAAAAATTTAAAAAAAAAGGAAAAGGAAGGAAGGAGGAGGGAAGGGGGAGAGAGAGGGAGGAAGGGAGAACAGAAGAGGAAGAAGGGAAATTGGTTTATTAACAGAATATAGAGATATATTATGGCCTCTTGCCTACTAGCTGGAAACATGGAGAACTGCATCAGTTTCTCTTCCTTATGTAACCAAGGGGAACCCTGAATAAACTCTCTAGCTACAATTGCTTTTACTTGACTTTTAAAAATTGTTAACTTTGGAGGTCATGCAGTTTGAGCAGTGTGTTATTAGTTTCCAACTAGGTTTGCTGTAGATGTCACATCTAATGCGTGGGTCATGATAACAGTTGCCTGGGGACTTTTCAGGGACTTGAAGGTCCCTGAAATCAACCTTTCACTTGTGTCTGGGCTGGTGTTGAATGGGTGACCTTCTGGACAACACAGTTTTTTTGGGTTACAATTTGATAGATGGGCACAAACTTACCCGCAGATTATGTTATCACTACCATTTTCTAAACATGCATTCTACAAACAGCTATGACGATCACATGTGCAGATCAATTATTACCTCACTTCTACTCACCTTTTCCCTGCTCCATGCCTCACATCACCCTGCTCCTCTATCCCAGAGATATTCCCAAACCATACTACCAGGGAGGCCAATCTGAGACTTGTTCTCCTTTCTCCACAAATTTGGCCACCCCATGAATAAACTTTCTATTTTGTAAAACTCCTTGTTGCAATGGTTGGCATTGTGCATGGTAAGTAAAGCAAAACTGATTTGGCAACATGTCATCTTCCAGACCTGGAGGAATGTCCACAAATATACTGAGTTCACCAAGCACTTCTGTTCCTAGCTGTTGGGGACATGTCTGTCCTTTCTACCTCAAGAGGCTTAGAAAATTTATTAATAAATGGTACACAATGGAGACAGGTAATCAGGCTCCTCTCGAGTTGTACTGTCCATATGGCATCCATTTAAATCCAAATTAATTAAAACGAAAAATCCCATTTCTCAGCTGCATTCATGTCAATAGCTCTGTGTGGCTAGTGGTTACCATATGGAGCACAGCAGGTCACAGAGCATTCTCATCACTGCAGAAAGTTCTCCTACATAGTGCTTTTGTGAGTTTTCCCAGTACTATTTGGCTGTGTGCATGAAGACAAGCAGCTTTCTCCCTGAGCAAGGAAAATTCATCTGCTACAAAGCAGAAAGGCCATCTCACCCATTTGTCGTCAGGTGTTCTTCTCGTCCATACAGACAAAACTCTAGGTCGTGCCCTTTCAGTTCTGGCTGTTCCACACACTTTGAATCATTTTCTGGACGGAAGTAGCCAAAATCACTGCAAGAATCAATAAATCAGTTAACTTTCAAAGTGCTGAAGGACAGTGCATGATTATCAATGAATGGTTTATGTGGGGCAGTGGATGGATGATCAATATTCCAGACTAGAAGAGTTGTCAGCATTTCAGGAAGGTCTGTGACATCTCTGAACAAAGTCCATACTATAATTTGGGTCTATGTCTCCCAAAGCCCATGTGTTCAAGGCTTGACTCCCAGTATGACACTATTGGGAGATGGGGCCTAGCAGAAGGTATTTGTGTCACTGGGTGGCCCATCCCCCTCCTCTTTCTTTTTCAGTGAGCAGTTTAACTCTACTACACACCCTACCTTGGAGTGCTACACTGCCACAGGTCTAAAACAACAGGGCCAGGCAATTGTGGACTTTCTGATTATAAATCTTTTCCCCTTATAAGTTGATCACCTCAGGCATCTTTTATGATGATGGAAAGCTAACAGCCATTTAGGAAAACAAATACGGGGGATATGGACAAGCCTTTGCTGAGGAGAAAAGAAAAGCCTATATGACTCAGGCCTGGTAGTCTTAGGAAAAAGATAGAGCTCTAGGGGTTTTTCAGGCAGCTCCAGCTCAGTGAAGGACCTGAATGCAGTGTACAGTGGGGCATCAATGAACACAAAGATAGGCACAAACACAGTGGTATCAAAAACACATCGAAATTGAGGAGACTTACTGATTCTTTACTTTCAAGTGTAATTATATTTTGCTGGTAGGGTAACACATCACACTTTTCTATCTTCCCCTCTTCTGTGTCTCTCAGCTTATTATCCAGTTCTTGCCTCCAATGGGAACGCCACTTGCTGCCCTCCATTCCGTCTCACCTCTTTATGGTACCTCTCAACTTCTCTGCTTTCCCCAAAGGAACTCTGAGGCTGACATCCCTGTGTGAGCATCCTTAGTCTTGGTGCTACTCCTGCCATCAGCCCTAGGCCCCTGCTTCACAGACAGTGTGAGAGACAATCAGTCCTTCCCACTGAAGTGGTGGCTTCTCCTCAGTCTACATATCTCTAGCCCCCAAAATTACTGCCCTAATCTTTCTCCTCTTTAACAGACCGATTTTTGTCTTTGCTTTTTCTTCCTCTCTCTTCTCCTCCCTTTTCTGCCTCCCAACTTTTTTTTTCTTTTGCGGCACTGGGGACTAACCCAGGCCTTGCACATGCTAGGCAAGCAGTCTATCCCTGAGCTAGCCTCCAAACCCATCTTTCCTTTTCAAAATGTTTTGAATAGGGTCTCGTTAAGCTAATCCTGAACTTGTAGTCCTTTCTCAGCACCCCAAGTTGCCGGGATTACAGATGTGCATCACTGTCCCCATCTTTACTGACCCATTTCTTAGAAGACTATTTCTTGCTCTATTTACGCATTTACTTTATATTCCATGTATTTTGCCTTCAGCCCTTTCTGCAACCTTGAAAAGGAACTCTAAAGTCAGCCAGACATCAAACCCAGAGGAGCTCTTTCTGGTGCTACCCACCTCTGCCACCTGTTGTTTCATCTAACATGCCAGTGTGCCCCTGCCCACCCTGGTAGTGGCAAACTTCAGCTTGTTTTTGTGACCATGGTTGTGCTTCTCTCTTCCTATTCAGAAATTCAGACTTTGACAGGGCTCTATAATTCATTCTTTTACTTTCTCTGAATCTGCTCTCCCTTAGTGAACATAGCTCTTTGTATTTACTACTAAAACATCTGTATTTTACCTTTCTCTTGGTCCTTAATCCTGCATTTCCAAATGGCTGCTAGATGTCACCACTTAAATATGCTGACAGTATCTCAAAGGACTAAAATGGTCAAAATATAGCTTATTTTCTTCCCTGTGCAGTCCCTCCTCATCACTTCCACATGTCTGTCCATTCTATTGCCTTCCTTCTACCGTCTAATTGGAAAACCCAGCCTTCATGTCTTCTATCTGGATCCTCCTCACTTCTGTATCATGACTCTGATCTCTCACAGCCTGTTGTCTGCCATGGCCTTCCCATGCAGCTGTGTGTCTATGTTCACACTGGTCCACTAGCTTTAGTGACTCACTTTCCTTACTGATGTGCATGGTCAAATCCTACCCTTCATCAGTACTCCGCTCAAAATGTCACCTCCTGAACTAAGTCTTCTATAACTCACCTTTTAAAAGCACTGGATAGAACCTTTTCTCCCTTCTCTAAATCTGCAGGACAACTACCCTTTTTTGTGTCATAATTTATGTGCACTTTATCCAGAAAGTCTATAGCAAGCCTTCCATTATTAATTTGCATTGCCCTGTGCTGAGCAGGCACTAAATGAATGTATGCAGATCCACTTGCAGTTTAAGCATTTTCTTATGAGTATTTAGGAGAGAGGGCAAGGACAGTAAAACATGTAAAAGATATCACCTCTCTAACAGCAGAAAAAGTTTCACCTAAGAATTTTAGGTATTCCAGCTCTGCCACTTCTCCAAGAGCAGTTAGTCACAAACTTCTGTTGTAAGTTTAAATGCAAACTGTTTAGGAGAGTGCCAGCTACAGAGTAGCTCTTAATAATGTCGGCTGCTGTCATTACCACTCTATTATCATATATAATATTGTACACTCTCAAGGAGTTTGGGTTTAATGTTGGAGCCAAATCTACAAACCATCATTAAAACACAGTAAGTGCCAATGTAGGGGTGCTGAGAAGGAGGAGAAGCTTAGCAGGCGTGGGTGTCCTGTGGAGATATGGACAGACTTCCAGTCAGGGGAAAATCCTGGCACAGTGGCTGGAGCTTGGAAGAGTCACAGAACACTTGGAAAATGAAGACATTCAGGAAAAGAGTTGGTGTATTTGGAGTCAAGGACAGGTTACAAACTTGTAGACTTGCATAGGTTTATCCATCCTACACTCTGTATCAGCAGCCTGTGCCCCACCGTAATACCAAGATGTGAGCGCTGTATTTCTTGTGCAAAGGAGAAAGAAGGACCCCTGACAAGTCTACATACAGACGTGACCTATACAAGAAGAGCCACACAGGGTCAGACCTGTGTTTCCCTCAGATTTGCATTCTGCTGTTACCTGAAGTTCAAGGCTGTACCATGAGGGAAGATATGATTGTTATTTACTTGCCTTTTGTCCAAATCCTTTAGGATACACTTTCACCTCCTGTTAGTATCTATTGTACACAGAAAATTTCACAAATTATCTGTGACATAAAGCAGTCCTTATTTCCCCTAAAGTTACTTCATTTAAGCTATACAGGGAGTTCCTTGCCTTTTACAAATCAATTAACTCTCTGCTAGCCAAGTAACTAATCCATAAGTCTGTGTGGCACTGAACTCCAGGGAGGTCACCCTGACAGCCTGTAAACCTCAAGAGGTCATACAGGCCACAAAGATTCTGATGTTGCCTCTAGTTTCAGGACCAAATCTCTTAGCCTTGCAGAGGAACTGAAACCTAGTATTCAAACCATCAAGGTGCTCTCAAAGTAATTTTCCCTTTGTTTCTGCACTGCTTTTCTTGGTGTTTCTGTCTTGTTATTGGCGACAGATATTGCTATTTTATTTTTCTTCTTCTTTTTTTTTTTTTGGCTTTTTCCTTTTTACCGGTACCAGGGATCGAACTCATGACTGCCTGCTTGCAAGGCAGGCGCTTATGCCACTGAGCTAAATCCCCAGCCCCTATTTTTCTTCATTTTTAAATGGATTTTCTTCCATCATTATCAAGTCAAAATTTCAGGGGTTGGTTGCTCATTCTGCCTAATGATTATCCAGTAAAATTATACTATTTGTCTAATTATTCATAACTACTCCCTAATTATTCACAATTATTCTTTCTCTCTGGGTCTCAGTTTCCTTGATAAGAAGTAGCATTTCTCTACTCTTGGGGAAAAAGATTTCAGTATTTTAGCCCCATAAAACAACTGCTTCATCGCTTCCTGTATGGGACAGAGACAGACAGAGGGAGCTAAGGAGTGTTGATACCAGAGAAAGTCCTCCAGGGAACAGGGACAGATGGATGGCTGTTTGGTCACAACATAGTCTCGACCATTTTGACAGACAGATGACTTCCGTAGCCGTAGGTACTGTTCCCTGTATCCCAGAATGCAGCCATCTTCATAATCTCCAGGGTCTGTGGAGTGTGCCAGCCATATGGTATAGTCCTTCTCTTCACCTAAAGGACAGATAGGTGGTTCAGGAAGCTGTGTAACAGAGTCCATAGGGAGAGCAGCACCCAGGTTACAGGAAGAATGAGCAGGAAGACAGATTGCCTTAGGCTACTGCTCCTGTCTGGAATTGCAAACAAGAATTAGTCTACAATACTTGGGCTGGGGATTTAGCTCAGTGGCATAAGCACCTGCCTGGCAAGTGTGAGGTCATGAGTTTGATTCCTGGTACCAAAAAAAAAAAAAAAAAAAGAAAAAAGAAAAATGAATTAGTCTATAGCCGACTAGCAATTATGTTTCTTTGTGCAAAAAGTTGATCCCCGCCACACCGACCTGTCCATTCAAGGATTAGGAAAGAACCTGATTTATTTTGAAGTGGGATGCTATATAGGAAAGTTCTACAGTTCCCTCCAAACTGAGAGGCTGCTGTGTTTTGCCCATCTATCTATACCCCAGTCCACAGGAGCTTACAGAGGTTAAAAACCAGATATTTCCACTTCAGAAGCTCTTTGCTTAGGATCAGATACTAACTATACAAGAGTACAGGTTCAGTTTTACATGTTAGTTTGCTTCAATCAGCAGGGAAAACAACCTCTTCCTAGAATTCTAGCTCTAGTCAACTGGCTCTCAAATGGGGATTGTTGACAACAGTTTCTGGCTCAGAAAATCATATCATCTACTCCTGGAAAAATAAAGCAAAGACTATGGCATAAAAACTGTGGATTAGGTTTTTATCTTTCAAGATATGAAGACCAGTACAAGCCTGTTTGCGAACAGGCACTTAGCAAATCTCTTAATGATGTCGAACTTCAGGGATACAGTAGAACTGGCTGCTGAGGGTAACACTCATAAGCCAGCTCCTTCACAGCCTCTCTAATGAATTTAGATGACAGAAGCCTTCAGGTCTTAAATCATATTTACAGAAAGGCAAGGTCCAATCAGGAGCTACTGAATTAATACCATGAGGGAATGGACCCATAAAAATGAAAAATACAATCAAAATTCAATTAAAATGTCTTGAAACTTTTAAGTCTTGGATTGTGTTACACTAACATGGCAGTATGGATTACTTTTTTGTTTTCTAGTGTTTTATCTTTCATATTTTTCAGTATAATGTCAACATCTTTGGCACTAGGTCTCAAGTTTGCGTGTGACACTTGGAAATGCTATGTACTGCACACTGTCAATCTTTTTCTGCACTTTCCAAGCTTTAGTGCAAAGTAACAGAACTTGGAGGAGGTTAGTGTGGGTTTCACACTTGCCTACTGGTCATTCTAGAGCCTCACTTGTGACTGGGATTGAAGCTAAAAGTCTTTTGCATGAGCACTTCTTTATTTCAACATTTTGAGAAGTTACACAATCAATTAGATGCTCTTACAAAATTTTTCTGTAAAGTTTCCTCTTTACAGTTACAAAGTATTTGCCTAATCAGTGTAAAGACCCACAAAATATCATGACTGGGGATTTAGCTCAGCAGCATAAGTGCCTGCCTAGCAAGCACAAGGTCATTAGGTTAATCCCTGGTACCAAAAAAAAAGAAAAAAGAAAAAAAAAAGTTTACGTATACAGTTACAATTCTGATACAGTAACCCTAGTTGTATGTGGCTGGTCTGAATGGAAGCTTCCTGTAAGTGTAAGCACTAAAGAATGTAAAAAATCTCAATAATTTTAAATATTGGTCACATGTAAAAAGATGATGTTTTAGACATATGAAGATAATTCTATCACTAAAATGCACTTTTCTTTACTTTTGACTTTTATTATATAGCTGACATGATAGTTTAAATTATGTTTGTGTTGTACTAAAATGCTAAAAAACTAAAATGCAAAGTTAAAAAGATAGTTATTAGCAAAAATAGTTAGTTAAAAAGATAGTTGTTAGCAGTATTGTCATTCTGTGCTGTGCTCATTACCGGGTAACTACGAAGCACACTACATAGTTATAGATTAACTGACCGCATTGTCATGCTGTTCTGTATGTGTCGTCCCCCAAGTAACCTGTTTGCTGTGTCAACCTTTGTTCCCTTTGTAAGAGACAAATATGCTGTGTCAACCATTGCTCCCTTTGTGAGACAAATGTTCCTGGAATTGGCAGACAAAGGGCTATGAATTGGCTAACCACCCACTGTGAAATGCCTCTGACTTCAAGCAAAGGGGGAACAAAAGTCTACCTTGTTTCTGTTTCTCATCGCTATGTACTTAATGATCAATGAGCTAATCATAAATGAACTATAAAAATCTGTCAGAATTCTAAGTCAGTTGCACAACTTTGCAAACTCCATCTGCACTGTGCTGCTGGATACCAGCTTAAATAAAAGCACTTCTTTTTAAAAGACGTCTCGCCCCCTTCTTGACAAGACAACATCTCAGGGCTTGTTTTTGGGGTACAACAGTTTGTGCCCTCATTTCCCTTGAGATGTGCTAGTCCCAAGAAGGAAACCACTGTTTGATACCATTCCATTGCTTGGCTACCCTCATGGAATAATCTCTAATTTCCTTCCACATGCATATATATTTGCTGGTATTAGTTAAAAGAATTTAAATTGAATTTATTATTTAGGTAAAATTTCTTGACAGATAGAGATACTCACAATTCCTTTCAAGGATATCTTTAAAATCAATGGTGTAGGACACCCATTGGCGGGTCAGGAAAGATTCTGTAAACCCCCAAATGCTGATATTCATGGATCTGGCTCCAGGCTCTGAAGCTAGGCCAGTGAAATAGATGGGCTCCCTGGTGAACATGTAGGTTTGCCAACATTGACCTTCGTCTGTGGAGAACCTGAAACATCAATTAGAGAAAGATCTTAACAGAGGACCAAACCAGTACTGGGAATATGACAAAAACACTATGGCTGTTTGATCTTCATAGAATAACTTTAGATTTAGGTGATAGCTTCAGCAATAACTGACAACTCTTTCATTTTTAATGTGTATGGTTAGCAGTGTAGGGAAAAGGATTTATTCTGAAAAGGTACCAAAGGAGAGGGCATTGACTCATGTGAGAATGGGCTTCTGATTTAACAAAATCAAATTATCCTATAAAAATTTGTGTTTAAGAAGTCATTTCCAATTCATAGTGCTTGGATATTTCTGTAACATTTTTGTGCTAAGAAAGAAGAATTTTAAAAAATAATAAAATGTGTCAGAAGAAATACCAATACTATTCAATCTGAGTTGCTCCAAAATACAATCCCTTCTAGAATACTTCCTACAATTTTGGAGAATGCAAAATCTGAAGTAAGGTCTGTGATTTTTTTTCCCCTCAGTAAACTGAAGAACATTCCCACAGTTGCCCTCTATGGAGATACTGTGTGTGGAGTTGAGTTCATGCATACTTAATCACATTGATAGGATGGTTGCTGTGCTCAATGGCCACAATGATGCCTCCGGAATCCAGGATGGTGTAATAGTGGGGTCCTTCTAGCATCTTCATCCAGGAGTAACCCCCATCATCTGAGATGTACACATCTGGGACCATCACTGAGATAGCATCCCCCACACTACCTGCAACATAATCCATCATCTCATCAGCAGTGAAACAGAGGAGATTTTTACTGGCAAAAGGATAATTTTTTAGAGTCAGGGTCTTGCTAGTAATCTAGGCTTAAACTCACTCTGTACCCCAGGCTAGCCTCAAACTCACAGCTATCCTTCTGCCTCCAGTGATGGGATTACAGATGTAAACTACCATGCTTGGCCATTGTTTTTTTGTCTTTTTCCTTTTTATTGGTACCAGGGATTGAACTCACGACTGCCTGCTTGCAAGGCAGGCGCTTATGCTGCTAAGCTAAATCCCCAGCCCTTTGGCCATTTTTTTTAAAAGAGGGTCTCACTGTATAGTTTAGGCTGGCCTTGAACTCACTATGTAGCCCAGATGTCCTTGAACTTGCAGAAACCCTTCTGTCTCAATCTCCTGAGACTGGGATTACAGGCATGTACCACCATGCGTGGAAAGATGCTAGTTCTGAATGACTTTTTCTAATTATTTTCCATCAGGCCTCTTGCAGTAGACAAATGGGCCATCAAAAGTTGGGAAGAGGAGAAGTCATTTGTACTCTCAAATGGGACTCCATGAAAATTCCAAAGGATTGTTATAACGCAAGACATTCTGCCACAATCAGCTGTATGGTTTTTAATAGGGCTCAAAGGCTATGGCTGGGTCTCAGTGTACTCAGCTACTTTACTCACAGTGGTAAAAGAAAGGGCTCCTTACCATGAGCAATGACTATGCCCACAGCATTAGGCTCGGTGAGTGGTGCCATCGGAACATTTAGTTTCTGGGAGATGCTGTAGGAAGCATGAATATGAAGGCTGCACTGTGAAAAGAAACCAAAGGTACAATGTCCTTATTCATACAGAGTTGTCTAACAAAGCCTTAAACTTAATTTATACCTCAGGGGGTCTTTTAATAGAAACTGTGGCCAAGTACATATTTTGTAAAATTTACCATCTTAACTTCTTACATGTAAAGTTTGGGAGTGTTAAGTATATTCTCACCTTTGTGGGAGCAATCTTTAGAACTCTGGCATCTTGCAAAACTGGAACTACCACCCTTTAAGCAACAGCTCCCCATTTGTTTCACTAAACTCTGGCAAATGCTGTTTTGTTTTCCAGCTCTGCTTTTTTATTATTCCAGGTACTTCATATAACTGAAATCATATAGCGTTTATCTTTTTGTGATTAGCTCATTTTACTTAGCACAATATTTTCAAGGTTTGGGGCTGGGGGTTTAGCTCAGCGGCATAAGCACCTGCCTTGCAAGCAGGCGGTCGTGAGTTCAATCCCCGGTACCGATAAAAATGAAAATGACCAAAAAAAAAAAAAAAAAAAAAAAAATTTCAAGGTTCATCTGTATAGACCAGTATGTGTCAGAATTTCCTTCCTCTGAAGACTGAATGACGTTCCTGTATAGGTACACCACATTTTACTAACTCTTTCATCTGGTGTTGGATATTTCAGCTTTTCTATCTTTTGACTATTATGAATAATGTTGTTATGTGTACAAAAGTGTAGAAATATCTTTCACAAATATCTATTTTTGGGTTGCTTCAAACTAGAGTGCTTCTTAAAGCAAAGGAAATATTAAAAGAGTTAAACAGCAAAATAAAGAACTGAGAGAGAATACTTGCAAACTACACATCTGACAGGGATTAGTACACAAACAACCCAGAAACAAAAAAGTGATACTATTTTAAATAATAAGCAAAGGAAAAATAGGCAAAGGGAATGAATAGTTATTTTAAGACATACAAATAGCCAACAAGTATATAAAAATACCAACATCACTAATCATAAAAAAGCATATAAAAACACAATGAGGAATCTCCTTTTAACTGTCAGAGGGCTATTATTAATAAGACAAATAAGATGGCAAGGATGTGGGAAAAGGATAATCCTCATACTGTGTTGGTAGAAATGTAAGTTGTTACAGTCATACACAAGAGTATGGAGTTTCCTTAAAAAAACTAAAGATATATCCAGATACAGTGGCACATGCCTATAATCCCAGCATTCATGTGGCAGAAGCAGGAGGACTGCTATGGATTCAAAACTAGACTGACTTCAATAGTAAGTTCAAGACACCTGTGCTATATAGTGAAACCCTATCTCAAAAAACCAGCCAAACCAAACCAAATCAAACTAATCCAACCCAACCAACCCAACCAAAACCTCAACAAAAACAAAATACACACACACACACACAAAATTAAAGCTAAAAATACTGCCAATCTCACTTCTGTATTCATCCAGCGGAAATGAAATCAGAATCTTGAGACACATACACATCCAAGTTCATTCTAGCGTTATCATAATAACCAACATACATAATTACACTGTGTCATTTGATAAATAAGTGTTTTAAAATGTGGCTTATATACACAATGGAATATTATTGTTCAGCCTTAAAAAAGAAAATCTTTTTTTTGTGTGTGTGTGTGTTTTTCATTTTTATCGGTACCAGGGTTCAAACTCACGACCGCCTGCTTGCAAGGCAGGTGCTTATGCCGCTGAGCTAAATCCCCAGCCCCTAAAAAAGAAAATCTTGCTATTTGCAACAGTATGGATGAACCTGGAAGACACAGTGCATGATTTCATTTACATGTGGAATCTGAAAATGTTGAAATCATAAAAGCAGAGACAAGAATGGTGGCTTTTAGGGATTAGAAATACAGAATGAGAATGGGCAATACTGGCCAAGGGTAAAAAGTTTTAGTTAAGCAAGATAAGTAAATTCTGGTAAGCTGATGTGCAGCATGGAGTCAACAATACCATACAGCATATTTGTTTTCTTTTTTTCTTTGGTACCGGGGATCGAATTCATGACTATGTGTTTGCCAGGCAGGTGCTTATGCTGCTGAGCTAAATCCCTGGCCCTAGCAAATATGAAATTTGACAAATACAGTAGATCTTTTTTTTTTTTTTTTTTGGTACCAGAGATTGAACTCATGACCTTATGCTTCCAGACCAGCATTTCTGCCACTGGCCCCAGGAGAGAGTAGATCTTAAATGTTCTTACCCCCCCCCCCCACACTAAAAATGTAACTGTGGGGTAGTGGGTATACTAATTAGCTTGATTGTGGTAGTCACTTTACAATGTATACATAAATCTAAACATCATGGTGTATATAAAGTGTATAAAAAGATATACCACTTTTATTTATCAATAATACTTCAATAAGAAAAGAAGCTGAGAAGAAAAGAAATGTCAGGAAGTAGTTGATAAAGCAGAATGAAAGTTACTGCTTTAAGAAGTTTCAAATGATAAATACCAGTAGTATGTTGTGTATATCTTACTATTATGTAAAAAAAGTTTCAAGCAAATTATTCATAAAGAAGAGCGATTAGTTCTAACTGATGGGGACTGAGGAGGGTTAGGATTTCCACTGATCCTAATTAATTTGGGTTCAGGGAGATGGGCACAACTTCTATTGGAAACACTATGGAGAAGGTCACTCAGGTAAGCATACGCAGAGTGTTTAGGGAATGGCATGCGTAGGTCAGGGATACAGCTGGTAGGAACTGTGAAAATGGAGAGTGAGGCTGACAGAAGAGAATCTGCATTCACCAGGTCCAGGGCACAGACTCTTCCCGGGGAAAGAACCATGAAGAATACTGGGAAGAGGGATGGGAGCACAAGGTGGCAAGGCCACTGAAGGGACCACTGTACCTACTATAACTAGAGGTGAGGAGGGGAGGCAGAGGGCAAGGTGAGGGCTGAGGAATGGTAAAAGAGACAAGAAGGTAGAGGTACACTTAGCATTTACAGAGAGAGACAGTGCAGGTACATTTTATCTCACACCCACTGACGCTCTTACACAAAGACTAAGTCGGTCTAGAAAGCATGGCAGCTTCAGGTGCTCTGAGAGGTCAGGAGCCACCAGCACCACTGTTTTGAAGAAAACAGCCACAATGGCCTAAGCTCCTGTGCGATTCTCTTAAGAGCCAAATAAAAAGCTTCTTTCCTTCTGCCTGGCAATGGCTGTCACTCTTGGGGCCTGGGATCTCCCACAGTGGCAATTTCGTTTCTGCCTCCAGGTGTATCCTCAGAGGGGCTTCCCCTGCTTTCCCAGGATGCAGCTCACTGGCGGTGTCAGCAGGTGGAGGTGAAAGAAAGGCGATATTCTTCCACTGTTTCTGTCCAGATGTCTCCACAGTGTTTATGAATAGTACTTAGGGTGCCTAAAGCCTCATCAATGCCATGCTGACTCCCAACTAGCACATCTATTCACTCTGTTTTCATCCCACAAGTCAGTAAAAACAAATTGCTAGCCACTGGTTTTGTTCTTTAAAAGACAATCCATATTTTCATCTTTCTGTAAAGTTCCTAATTCCCAAGTCTAAATTAATTTCATTACTTTTATTTTCAAATTTTGCATCTGAAACTATGAATCCTAATCTAGTACAAAATTACTCAGAAACCTGGCTTGGCAGCTTCTCTGGATGCACATCCGACACTATCACACACAAACCTCATTCTTGTTTTTCGCAGTAGCATCACACTCGCTGTTTTCAGGCTTGCGCAGGTGCTTCCACCTTCCTCCTTGGTCAAAAGTGATCATTGTCTGGATAGAATTATCTAAATGGGGAAAGAATGATCACCAGTCTGATACACTGGAAGCACCAAGTATAGTCAGTTTATCACTGTACAACATTCTGCTGAGACCAGAAAATATCATTTAAACCCTCAAGTCCCACAAGCCGTTAATGCCTTGCAAAAATGGCTCAGTGATGTTAAGTAAGTAAGTAACAAATATGAGACTTGTAAAAGGCTTACCACCTGAGCAAGACTGAATGAGTTCCAGAAATCATTTAGGGCTGATACCATTAGAAAAAGAGCTTTTGTTTTATAGTTTGGGTCTTAAATGTCCCCCTTGGGGCCCATGTCTTAAAGGGTTGGTCACCAACCTGTGCCATTACTAACAGGTAGAGGTACCTTTAAGAGGCGGGGCTAGGTGGAAGAAGTTATGTCACTAGGGACCCTTGAAGGGGATACTGAGACCCTGGTCCCTTCTTCCTTTCTGTAAGGTGAAGGGGCTTTCTCCATAACATGTTCCTGCCAAGATGTGCTCAATAGGCTCAGAAGAATGGGTACAACTGACTATAGACTGAAATCATTCAAACTGTGAGCCAAGATAAACCTCTTATCTTTTATGAATTGCTTAGGTATTTTGTTATAACAACTGAACAATGCCACACATTTTAACTCCTGATTCACACAAATAGGCTGAGGTCCATTCTCCTTTGATGGCTTAGGAAAAAACCTGGCATGGAAAGGCATCCTCATCTCTACTTGGACAAGGTCATGACAGGTCTTAGGGACTCTCGAGGTTTTTTTTTTTTTGAGACAGTGTCAAGCTATGTAGTTTGGACTGGCTTTGAACTCACTATGTAGCCCAGGTTAGCCTTGAACTTGCTGCAACCGCCTGTCTCAGCCTCCCAAATGCTGGGATTACAGGTGTGTACACCATGCCTAGCTCAAGGTTTGAATATGTATGCTAGACTAATAATTCCTAATTGTTGTTTCTCCACCACCCATACCCCATTACTCCTTACATCTCATTTTCTTCTCCTTACATCCAACTTTCTTATTCTCTATTTTCAATGGTAAAACTATTGCAGGTTTATATTTAATATGCTTTGCGTGGTCCGAGGAATACCAACTAGGAAAGCAAGGAAAGGAAAATTCATTCATTCAACAAACATTTACCAAGAGCCTACCAACTAAAAACTTTTGTAAACTTTTAGGAATACACTACTGAACAAAAGAAAAAAAATCTTGTGAAACATATACTGGTAGGGTGAGACAAGCACTAGAAAGAGTAAATAAGTAAATTCTACAGTATATCAGAAAATAAGTGCTATGGAAAAACCTTGCATAGCTAAAGGTGGATTGGGAGTACGTGTGTGAGAAGGAGGGCAGATTGGAATTCAAAATAAAATGGGCAGGTCTCATTCAGAAGGGAACATATGAACAAAGACTTGAAGAACAAGTGCTCAGCCTTGCAGATAGATATATCCAGGGACGCAGAGAGAACTGGCAGTACAAGTCTGTAAACTAAGGAGTTGTGTGTGACTGATGAGTTTAGGACTAGAAGGGGTTAGTGTGTGGAGTGCAGAGCAAATCAAAGAAATGTTGGAGATAAGGTCAGGGGAGAAACAGGGACCTAGTGTCACTGAGTACCTTGTAGGCCACTGCAAGCAGTTAATAAAAATAAAAACAAATATCCTATCTCCAATCAATCAATCAATCAGACTCTCTGTTTATTTGCATATCTGTGGGTAATAAAGCTAAGCCCTATAAAGCCATGGAGTAGAACTCTAGAAAAATCCTGGCTGGTTATTGCAATGCCCTCTATAAGAAGAAAAGTAGTTCAGCTTCAGACTCATTCCTATCTGCCTAAACCTCCTAATGTGGAAGACTAACAAAGTAAGCAACACTGACTCTAAAACATTTTTCTTTCTGCTGTTGCTTTTCTCTCTAAGTCTAGTTACCGTAACTTATTTAAAATAGAGAGCCAGAATATACACAAGTAGGCTTGTAGGTTAGGTAAGTGCATTACTGGAGTACAGTACCTTCAGGCCCCCTGATGGTCTCCAATCCTAACACTGAGCTAAAGGAGCAGGGCAGGACAGCTGTGGCAGGACTCACCTTCTGAGAGCATGCTTGTTATGTAGACCCCGCGGAGGGATGTTACATTAGTAAAGTCCGTTTCTCCACCTGTGGTAGTATAGAGATGTCGATCCAAAGACTTGGAATACACAATGCCTCGATCATCAGAGGTAAAGATTGTGCCAAATCCGGTATCTGAAATGGACAAACAAACTACACTAAGTTCTGGTAAGGAACAGAGAAAAGCAACAGTCTAGCCATACATGACTGACTGGCCCAGATCATTTAATGTCTCCAAATACCAGCTGTCTCCATGATGGAAATTCAGTCCTAAAAGTTCATCAAGGTTTGATATTCAAGATCTTTATGCCTAATTTTAGTTCTAGTGCCCTGTTTAGTGTCTGAAATACAGGAAATGCTGTATAATAAATGAGTTACTCAGATGCCACAGAAAAGCTCTTCCAAGATATATTTTGCTGCTAGAGGCATTGTATTTAGATTCATATTTTACACATTTCTAAATCTTTATACTCTAGAACAATGTTTCTAAACTATCTATGGTAAAGGTTCAATTTTTAAACTTCCAATATGTTGCAAATTGATTCTTGTACAAAATATAATTATCATAAAAAGAAGACTTAAAATATATAATGTACAGGTACAGATTCTCTATGATGAATATGATCTTTAAGTACATCTAAAATGTACTAGTAAATTAGGGACTTAAAATATATAATAATCACTACAAAAATGAAATAGAAAAGATAAACAAAATATATGCCCTCAATTTATTATCATTAGATTCAACAGATGAAATTACTTTGTCAAATGGCTAACAGCTGCTAAATGTTCTGAATTCCTTTACTTACTTGATAACAGCAAATCAATACCATTCCTGACAATTCTTCAGACTACTCTGAGCAGCTAACTTCTAGAACACACTTGTTCTTGAATACACAAATCACAGTAACTATCAAAACAAGTGGCCTTTAAAGAAGTCAACACAGCAAGATGTGGTGGTGCACACCTCTAATTCCAACGCTTGGGAGGCTGAGGCAGGAGGACTGCCATGAGTTCAAGGCCAGCCTGGCAACATAGTCAGTTCATAGCCAGCCTTAACTACAAATCAAGACTAAAAACTAAAGTGGAAACATACTATCTTTAGGATCTGTAGGGTGCTAATAAATGTCTAGAAGTGAGAGAAAAAGTTGACATATAAAAAGGAAAGCTTCATAAAGCAAGGCCTAAAATCTATGCATTCAAAGATTAAAGGACTCTTGGGGTTGGGGATTTAGCTCAGCGGCATAAGCGCCTGCCTTACAAGCAGGCAGTCGTGAGTTCGATCCCCGGTACCGATAAAAAGGAAAAAGACAAAAAAACAAAACAAAACAAAACCAAAAAACCCCCAAAGATTAAAGGACTCTTACCTCCAGGTTCATCTACATGCATGAATACCATGTCATCATTAGCTGCCAGAATAGAATAGAATTGTTCCTGTCCCACAGAAGGAAGTTGGGCCATGCTCCACGTGTCCCCTTGATCTGTTGACACATGGATCCTTCTTGTTGTATCCTAGAAAAATAGGCCAATATCTACCTTAAAATCTCTATTATTCATTTCCCCGGGGTGGGGGATGCAAGAAAGGTCACAGTACCAATTATCAAAGCAATTTCCAACCCCTCTGAGGCTATGGAACAATCCATTCTATTAGAAATAAAGCTGACTTGGCTTTCTTTTTGGATCCTTCATTCTGATGATGCTCCCAATCTCTGATATCCCATTTTCCTTCAGCAGAGCTAAGGATTTGATGGGATCATATTAGCTTAGCTTTACAGTTATTTGCATATTACTTACTTAGGTAATTGTAAAAGTGATGATTGCTGAATAAAAGTTTGGTCCCTTTCTGGCACAACCCAAAGGACTGAATAATTAAAGAAATTAGAAAATGAAGATGAAATCCATGCTTGAGACATCACAAAGAAGATGTGACATGTCTTTGAGGAGCTCATAGAATAACCGTGATACAGGCAACATGCATGGGCTGGAACAGCCTAAGGAAGACTCTGAAATTACTACAAGGAAATGATGACAGTGTATTTGGTTGGTAATAGAGTACATTACAAAAGCAGTTCAAGTTCACTCTCTGATAAACAGTTTCTGTTTGTGAGACAGGATCTTACTACTACCACCTTGCCACACAGTTCCATGCTGGCCTCAAACTGACAACACTTCTCAATTACACATTTGTGCCACCACACTTGGATTAATAAACAGTTCAAATGAGTTACCAGATACAGTTAGCCAGGGAATGAGAATCAATCTCTGGCTTCTTTAGGTTAAATACTCTGTAAAGTTCAGTGACAAGAACAGCTTTTTACTTAATTTATACTGAGACATCTAATTGCTTTGCAGAAACTAGAATTCAAAAACACTTGGCAGAAACTTTTTATAGACAGTAGCCCAGTCTAAGGAGGCTAGCTCTGGAATCTGACAGATTTCCATCAGGGCACCAGATATTACCACTGGGTGACCCTACACAAGTCACTCAACTTGTTCACTTATAAAACTAATATTAAAGTATTAGCTCACAAGGTTGTTGGGAAGATTATTACAAAATTACTTGAACTGTTTGTCCTTACCGTGCTATTTCCTCATCCGCAGTTCTCTCTAAACCCACTGCAATCAATCTTTTAACCACTTCTCCAATGACACTGTTTTTGTTAAGGTCACCAACAACCTTATTTTGCCAAATCCCACAGGTAATTCTCAGAACTCATGTAACTCAACATCTCACGTGAGTTTACAAAGCAGATAACTTCCTCTTCCTGAAACACTGTCTCCCCTTTCTTCCCTTGTCAGTGCCTTGGCCTGATTTCCCTTTATCTCACTGGTACCTCCCTTCTAGTCTTTGATAGAGTCTTCTCTTCCCAACTTTCAGTGTCGTGGTGCTTCAGGGTTTCTCAATCCTCCCAGCACTGCTCTACCTACTTATTTCTCCTGGAGAAATCATCTAGTTGCATGGGTTTAAACACTACATAATTTTGTGAGTCATATACTCAAATGCTTACTGGACATGTCGTCTTAGACGTCCAATAAGCATCTCAAACCTACTCCTCTTGCAGCTTTTGCCATCTCGTAAAATGCCGATCCCAGCCTTCCAACAGCTCAAGACAGACTCTCCAGAGTTACCCTTTCCCTTACTGTCTCTCAGTGCACATTTTTTTTTTTTTTTGAGACAAGGTCTTGCTAAGTAGTTCAGGAAGGCCTTGAACTCACGAACTTCCTGCCTCAGGCTCCTGAGGGCTAAATTATAGTTGTACACCATCATATGCAGCCCACAGTGCACATTTGATCCATCAGCAAGTCCCATTAGCAATGTATTTGAAAATATATCTACGATTTCACTACTTCCCCCCTCATCTACTGTCACTTACCTGCTCCTACCCACTGTCTCTCTTACGTGGCACTGTAGTAGCCTCCCAGCTGCCCTTGCTGCTTCCATTTTTCTCCCCATCTCAGGCTACTGTGTGTATACACAGCCAAATCACATCACACCCCAGCTTAACCCTTTCACAGATCATCAACACATAGAGTAAAATCCAACATCTGTACTGTGACCTAGAAAGGCCCGGCATGGTCTGGCTTCTGGCTCCCTGTCTTGTTCATCCTTGAACACTCTCCCCTATTCTCCAGTCACATTGCCCTTCTCCCTTTTCCTTCAACAGATGGACGTGCTCCAGCCAAGGTGTCTGTCTGTGTGCTGGCTCTTCCTCACCTAGTTCCCCTCCTGGATGTCCACACGTCATGTTCTCAATCCACACTCCGTTACTGAGAGAACACCCAGCCTGTCTATAATTGCACCACCTCAGTTTCTATCACTTTGTTTCCCTCCACTGCTTTAGATTATTTCATAGCTTTATTACCTGTTATACTTATTTATTTAGTATCTATTTGAAAACAAGCCTTGAAAGCAGGAAATGTATCTATTTTGTTCACTGCTGTATTTCAGGAACCTAGAATAGTAGCAAGTACATAGTAGATAATTTGTGTTACTTGTTTTTATTACTATTATTGAACTGCACAAGTAGACTGCTTGTTTTCAGATATCTACCTCAGAGTCAAGCCTAATTAGCAATTTAGCAAGCCTAAATTCTAGGTCTCCATATCTAAAATACAAGGCCAGAATTCACATGGTGACAAGAGGTTATAGGGCAGAGTGGCCCATGAGGGTCAATCAGTCTCAGTAAAGAGAATCACCTCAAACCTTACAAGGATATTAAATACTACAAAAAGACAAGAAGCTCTGTCAGTATTAAATAGTAAAAAGGGTATCTACGAGGCACATTTACAGAGATAAGAGACCCCAAAGAAAGAGACTACTACTTACCTTATCAGCCATCACAGAGGCAAAAAGGAAACGTCCTCCCAGACCAAATGAGTAGATTTTCATGCCAATGGTTTTGAAGGTTTTCCCTAAGTCTGAAGTTCTCCATAATTCCAGTGCTCCAAGGTCAGCTTCTTAAACAAGACAAAATATTAATTAAAATTTCATTTATTGATGAGTGTTTTAGAATTGCTCTTAATTTTATATCAAACACATTTTTAATCCTTTGCAAGTTGATTAATATAGCATCAGATACAGGGAATTCACATTTGGGTTTCATTCTGCAAATATGAGATTTTATTCTGGATGGGAAATATAGAGTTCTTTTAATTCCAGTATAGTATAACATAAAAGTAGCACGACCACAGAATATTGCTTTCCTTTCTTCATGGTACACTTTAAAATTATCTTATTGTATTTTAAATCATCTTGTTTTAGTTTTCATTGTCTTGTCATCAAACACATTTACTTGAATTTATGTTCCATGAAAGTGGGCCTTGAGTATTTTGTTTTCTCTCTCCTTAGAACAATGTTTAGTATATAGCAAGCATTCAGACATTTACTGAATAATAAAAGATTCTGCTTTGAAATTATGCCACAGACAAAGAAGCCAATGGCTCCACCAACACAAATATAACTGATGCTCTTGCAGAAATTATCATATCTTTTAACTGATGATTAGCCCAATATTTGCTTTATATAAATATATTGCTATGATTAAGTGTACTGCCTCCATGAATAGCCTATATTTTTACTGGACATCCTGTAGTAAGTCAATTGTACTTTGGTTTTTTTTTTTTTTTTTTTTTTTTGTACCCGGGATTGAACTCACAACCTCATACTTACCAGGCAGGCACTTATACTACTAAGCTAAATCCCCAGCCCTTCAGTTGTACTTTTGAAATTTTAAAAATTGTTAATGGGTATCTTTAGTTTAGGAGAAGAAAAGATTTTTTTTATTTCTACCTTGCATGATCCAGAACAACGTACATGAATGAATAGCACAATGATTTTTTCTAGAACTAAAATATACTTACTGCAGGATCCATTCACATAGGTGGTAAAGAAGATGATATTTCCTGATCCCCTACAAAGACAACAGGGAAAAGATGCTTTAAGACTGCTACAGAATGTGTCAACATTGGTCACAAAGTCCCTGGGATGTCTAATAATTCTCATCCATTGGTACCAGATGACACAGCATTCTCAGGAGCTATGCACCTGATTCTCCTATGGCCTATCAGTCAAGCTCACACAACCTGACTCCATGTGTTTTCTACAGTCTACTGCTTCATTTGAACTCTTTCAACTGGTCTCCAGCTCTGCCTTGGGAATTGTACTGTTTCCTTCCAAATGCTTTTCTCTTATGTAACCAAATTGTACTCTCATAATTTTCTGGTTTCAGCTTAAAATCTAGCTTTCCTGTGAAGCTTTCATTGGTCATTCCAATGAGGCTTCTGTGCTGCAAACTTCTAGAACAGTGGCTTCTCAAACAGGAATAATTCTGCCTTCAGGGGATATTTGGCAATGTTTGGAGATACTTCTAGTTGTCACAATAGGGACATGTAAGAGTCATTAGTAGCATGTAGTGGGTACAGGCCAGTGATGATGCTGAACATCTTACAATGTCCAGTACAGCCCCTTCAATAAGAAGTTATCTGGCCCAATATGTTGTTAGTGACAAGGCTGAGAAATCCTGTTGTGGAGCAATCCCTTTCTGTAGTAGCCAACTCAGCATTTACTGGCCCCCTGTTTAGCTTTTTGCATAGTGTACAGCCTATCTTTTCTACCACACTAATTGGCTTCTTTAGGTCAGTACTACCTTTTATGCTTTTTTCATCTTAGAATATATCTTAGTGCTTTGAATCACCCAAATAATTTAGTTCTTTCATCTTAAGTAGACAATTAGGCCAGAAGTTGAATTATTTAACATATTAACCAAGAAAGGGAGTTTTCAGAGAATACGATTTAGATTGTGAGAGTGCTTAGGTGCTGGGTTTGAGAATGTACTTTCAGTACTGTAGGTTATAAATTCCAGAAATCATAGAGCTAAAAGGTGAGTAAAGAGCTACCAGTGGACAATTATACTTAGTGTAAAGTAATGTAGTATTATAAAAGTAAGAACCCTTAAATAAAAAGAAACCTTGTATAAGATACAAAATAAAATACCATTTGAAAATAACTTTCATTTTTAAAGGTAAATTTTAATCATCAAAATTACTTGTCTTATGCTTAGGTATAGGTCATCATTATGAACACTGATCATATCAAAACATGATACAATGTTCCTATTAGAAGTTACTCAAGTATGTGTCCTTTCTTTATCTAGTATTAAGTGATTTCACACTTGGTTACACTTGATGGAGAGCAGAGTTACTGGTAGCCTGTAGGGCTGGGAATATAGTTCAGCGGCATAAGTGCCTGCCTGAAAAGTACAAGGTTGCGAGTTTGATTCCCGGTATAAAAAAAAAGTAAAAGTCATTGTAGTACTGGTCACCTGGTTATATTTATTTAACATTTTTTTTTAGCATAGTTATATTTAGGGCAAAGTAATATAGCATTATGAAAGTAACAAATCTTGTATAGGACACAAAATAAAACACCATTTGAAAATAACTTTCATTTTTACATGGCACTAAGTGTTTCCATATGCTGTTTTTTTTGTTCTTTTATAATTTTTCTCCCTTCTTCTAGCTCTCAGGCTGCAATTCTAATGCTGTTATATGTTTGTTGCTAGCAGCCACAGAACTGATCTCTGGCAGAAATCTGCTATAAACTGGGAAGTCTGATGAACAAATCTGTCAAATTAGTGAAAGAAAAAAGAAACTCTCAACAAGGATCTGAGCCTAAAAAGAATTGTGGAGGCATGAAGGTTATTAATCTTGTTCAACCATCTCCTCATATCCCCCAAACCACAGAAAGAAAAACTAAAGCCCAGAGAGATTAAGCTGTTGGCTAGCAGCACAACCAGGTTAGAATCAAGGTGATCAAACTAACAAGTTAGAGCTCCCGCCACATTGTCACCTTCAACCATGCACCTGGCAGGGACAGGGAGTCCTGTCCAGAGAAGTGAGTGAGTTTTTGTGTATGAACAGTGCAACTCTTTCAATTTTTTTTTCTGATTTCTTACTGTGTCCTACATAACTCAAATGAACTGCTAGACAACAGAGTATAATTCTTGGTGCACAGACATACTAAAATCCTCAAATTAAAGCTGTATTTTGTTATGTTCTGACTGATGTCACAGATACAGAGAATAAATCTTTTCTAGGCAGCAGTTACTCAGTCAGATGCCTTTGTTATACTCTAACATGTACTGAGACCAAGCCTTCTTTTCTTACATAAGTAGAAGTTCCTCCAGTTCAAGATCTGTGTCAGACTCCTCTCTTGTATCCCTTACGGCACCCTGAAGAATAAGCACTTGGCACACAGCATGTGCTCAATATTTATTCATGTGACTTTTGGCAGTACTATAAGGAAAGGTTTAGGGCTTTACACAGATGGAGTCTTCTGTTACTCACCATTTGGCCAAACATACTGCTTTGTGGATTTCTTTCCATTTTCCCCCAAAATTCTTGGAGACCCACAGGCCATTCTGAAAGATTATAAATGACTTATCAAAATTCCAGCTTTATCCTGTGCAGCTGCTTGTTTGACCTTTAATAATTCATATTCAAACATTCAGGACTGTAAAAACACACACTGAGGTTCCATCAGAGCCGCCTGAGCTTCACATTCACACACACACACACACACACACACACACACACACACATACACACACAACTTATTTGGGTTCCTTGAGGATCTCTAAAGTTTGGAATAACAACTGCATATTAAAGTGCCCACTATGTGCCAGGCATCATACTACATGTTGCACTGGGGATACAAAGATGAATAACACATTCTCTGTTCTCAAGGATCTCACAGTTTTACAAGGGCCACAGACAAAAAGAAAGTTCAATACCATGTGTTACGAAAAGAGTCTAGAGGAGACACAGGGAGAGGAAGTCTTTGGGGTCCTGAAGAAGATATCTGCACTGACCCTGAGATGATGAGCAGTGTAAGCAACAGAAGACAAGCAGTAGACAAGTTACTACAAAGAAAAACCAGTACTAGCAAAGGTGACAAAATACTATAGGGTCTGCAAGGAAATAAAACTCAGCAGACATTAATAGTGTAAAAGTTCCAAGGTGAAAAAGTGTGGAGAAGGGTAAGGAAGAAAACTTTCCTAAAGGCCAGACTGAAGAATCAGGTTTTTATCATATAAAAGGCATACTCAGGAAGGAGGTCCAAAAAGGGGAATGATAGAAATTTAATTTTTTTAGTTGATGTACTTGTATGAGAATAGGAAAGATGTATTTCAGAGAGTTGTAAATAGGACAGGCAGTAAATAAGTGACACATTATTAGTTCAGTAAGAGTTAATGAGGTCTTAGATTGTGGCTTTCAGGAATAGGATCAGCAAGAATTTAGAAGCAACAATATGAATAGATAACTTTTCATTTGTAGAGCAGGATGGATGAGGTGCATGTGTGTGTGCATGCATGTGCTCAATGCCTCCTGGTTTTGTACTAGGGTATAAGAAACATAAAAATACATCAACTAGAGTAAGGGTTCAGGGAAAAAGAGCATATCTGAGAGAAGAGCAGGAAAGTGGTTGAGTTTTGGATTGAGTTTGAAGTACCTATACGGCACCACATTAGAGATACCCAGGATGCAGCAAGATAAACAATTTGATGCCTTGTAGGAATCCAGGGCTAGAGGTAAAGATCTGAGAATATTACATTGTAAATGGTAAAAATGAAGAGTGGAAGATATTGATCAGAGTGAAATGAGCAGTAGCCATGTTAAGGGCAAACAGAAAGGAGTTTAAGAAACCAAGAAGGCATGGCCAGGAGGAAAAATAAACAAAGTGAATGATGTTACAGAGCCACGCAAGTGGTGTGTCCCCAAGGAGGGCCTGGCCAATACTTTGAAATGCAACAGGTTTAGTAACATGAAGACTGAACAGTGTCAATTATATTGGTGACATGCACTTCTTAAGCTCAGAATAATGGAGGTGGGACTGAGGCAACAATGTACAGCTGAAACTGAATGGGGCCAACTAGGCAGGGTTACTCCGCAGTGTTCACACATTCTTATTACCATTTTCCTTTAACTTCCTCTCCTCTGGTAATATCCCGCATCCCACCATTTCTTTTCTTTTTCGTTTTTATCGGTACCAGGGATCGAACTCACGACTGCCTGCTTGCAAGGCAGGCACTTATGCCACTGAGCTAAATCCCCAGCCCCCATCCCACCATTTCTAACTTATTTAGTTCTACACATAAGCACAACAGGGTATGGCATCATTTATTTGTAATTCAGTCTAAACTGGTCCATTTTCTCTACTCCAATTATTTATACTTCAAATTTACCCTTAATTGGAAAAAATTTTCAGGTAGAAGAGGAGATTGTAGGGTTGTACTTTCTTACTTTTCTTTTTTTTTTTTTTTTTTTTTTTAGTCTTTTCTGAGACAGGATCTCGCTATGCAGTTCAGGCTGGCCGTGAGCTCACTTTGTAGCCCAGGCTGATCTTGAACTCACGATTCTCCTACCTCAGCCTCTTGAGTGTTGGGATTAAAGGCATGTGCCACCACATCTAGCTTTACTTTTCTATTCTTTTTTTTTTTTTGTCTTTTTCCTTTTTATCAGTACCGGGGATCGAACTCACGACTGCCTGCTTGCAAGGCAGGTGCTTATGCCGCTGAGCTAAATCCCCAGCCCCTACTTTTCTATTCTTTTTTCTTTTTTCCCCCATCCTACTTTTCTATTTTTGAAGACAGCTTTACTTTACCAACCTTAAGATACTTGGAAATGGAGATGAGATGGAATATATGGTTTTGTACATTTCAGTGGAGGTTCCCTGGCTACCTTTGTAGAGCTTTGGCCTCAAGCTTCTAGAGGCTAATTTCTCTAAGACCTAAACACCACTGGTCAGTACTGTCCCCTGCTCTTCTTCCCCCATAACTCTGCTAGCTATTTTTCTTTTTCTGGTCTCCACTGGATAAGCATAAAACGGACCTGTTGCAGGGTCCCCAGCCATACCTCTACTCAAACATCTTCCCATAGAAGGCCCAGCACCAGGACCTCTCTTCTGATGCCTTCCCTATGCCACATTTGCTTAGCCTAACTGGCTCACATTTGGTGGTCTTGTTTCTGTTCCAGAACAGTCTGCACAGCAATGGTTTTCAAATTTTACAGCACAGTCCCACTTGGGGAGCTTGTTAAAAACATAGCTGCTCTACAAAGAAGTGACCAATTTGTTATATTTAAATTGGAAGCTGGAGAATTGTAGGTCAACTAGCTTGTTTCCATTTGATTCTATTGTTGAGGAGACCATATGAAGAACTTTGAAGAGAAAAGCCACATAAACATAAAGGGCAGTTGTAACTATCACAATCTAGCCATGCAGCTATGGGCCCCTAACTCTAGGACAGGAGACTGACCCTCCAGGAAAGGAAAAACTAACTGTCCTCCTTAAAGAACTTTCAGAAAGGCAGGATGGCTTTGCAGGGATAGTGGTTTCTGGGGAAGGGACAGGAATGTGGTAAGAAGTGCAGGGATTTGAGATTTTAGTTATCTAATACAGAAATCAGTATGGTTTTATATATACTAAGAAATTCATAGAAAAGAAAAAATAAAGATTGCTTTATCATGGGAAAGCAACAGTAACAATATTAGCAATATGACAAATTATTCTTGTACCTTAAACTATTTTCTACCTCCTTACTCCAACAGCACACATTTATTCACATGAATAATTATGGCAACTATACATCATACTTACCTGGAACAGATGGCATACAGAAATTATAACTTTAACCAAGTGGGAAAAAAATGAAAAAAAAAATACATACTTCTTTTGTAAGGAAAACAGAAAGAAGTCCAATATAAAAGCATTATCTATAGAATCCTTCTGTTTTTAAATCAGTATCAGGGATTGAACTCATGACCACATGCTTGCAAGGCAGGCGCTTATACTGCTGAGCTAAATCTCCAGCCCCTAGAATCCTTTTGAGACAATACATTTTGGGACTATAAGCCAAATTCCTCAATGAGACTTACTTCAGTGCTGAGGGCTAAAAGGTAATCAGAATTATGAGGGCTATACATCATCTGAGTCAGAGGATGAAAAGGGAGATCTGTTTGCACGAAGTTCTTTGCAAAATCTGATGACCTGAAGATTCTTCCTCCATGACTTCCTCCAGATACCTCTGCTGTTAGTATCACCTGATCAAGAACACGAAAGGTCAGATTTAGCACAGAAAGTTCTTGTACCATTTTTACCAAATAACAATCATGAATATTTTAGTTCCAAAAGTAAGAAGAGTTATAAATACAGATTAGTTGTTTTATTCTACTCCTCAAATCTTAGTCTTACCAAAATGTACCACGCTAAATTAAGCTAGGACATCATACTTGCATTTCTGAGGCTGGTCAGTTTCCCTGAAGACTAAAATGTTGTTGTAGTGACTACATATTGCAATGCTAAACAACTATCTCATAAGTATGAAGAGTTTTGGTACCTTTTGGTCAGGGACTAAAAACAAAAATCTATGTGCTGAATTCCATTCTTTTGTGATAAGTATTAAATAAACTATACTTAATTTTCAAATATAGCAATACTATAAACTAAAATAGAATACTGTGCATCACTGGATAATTCAAGAATAACATCTAGCAGTACTACATGTGCCACTGAACATCAGTTTTCCATGTATAAGAGTCTCACCTTTCCAGAATTCTCAGGACCAATCGCCATGCCAAATTCAGTACGAATGAAGGTGTTATTGATGAGATTTGTAATATCCTTAAAGTTTTTTCCATAATCTTCACTGAAGGGAAGGAAAAAAAAAAGAGGCAAATATAGAGGGCAGTAGTAATGGATTCCCACTCAGTTTCTATTTTCCGTCTCATGATCTTTTTCAGTGAAGGCCTGATTAGCCTGAGTGATTGGGGCAGGAAAGAGAAGTGACTAGGTAAAACCAATGAGGAAAAAACTCAAGCCAGCTTGAGTTGAAAGCTCTGCTAAATGAAGTCAAAGGCCTCTTAACCAATTCATCAATCCATGGTGCTTACAATAAAGCTGTAAGTTAAATAAAAGAATCTTTTTCCTATTGGCACAAGTTTTTAATGTATGTAGTCACAAAACATCACTAGAAAAAACAAACTACCAACCTCAACTCTTGGTTTCTCAGAACTTTTCTTAAAAGTTCATTCCAACAATATCTTTGAGAGGCATTTTAATCCATGTTTAGATTTTTAGAAATAATAAATAGCAGCAGCTATCTACTCTGACAGGATATGTCTCTTTTTAAAAATCATTTAAAAATTTTTTATTAATCATGTTTATAGTGTATTCATTGTGGGGAGCTGGTACATGTACATAACACATCTTAGTACATTTTATTTCCCCTTTTCTCCCCGCCCCTCCCCCACTCCAAGCATGACACAGAATGCTAATCCTACTATGTATTAAATTTAAGTATCCATCAGTGAAGACCACTGTGCACTGCAGTAAGTTGCCTAGTAATAAACACAATCTGCAATGGTCTTCACTGAGAGAATTTATGACTTAAAAGGATAATAAAAACTTTGGTAGCAGCTTCAACAGAGAATCAAAAATGATAAAACATGAGAGATGCAAGGAACTGACGAGAAAATCTTTTCCAACTCCCTTATGTCACAGGAGCTTCAAGAGCAGAAAATTATCAAAAGTGGAATAGTTAATTAGAGATGAAACTGAAACCACCGTCCAATTCTCACCCTTAAACTAGATACTACTTTCAACTATGAGGGGTTCTTTCCTTATAACCTATGTTTTTCCTCCCTTTTACTAGTTTGTGATCTGGCAATAGAGATCAGAGCTAAGAAGCTGGAGACAGGAGGGACATGTGGGCGCCTGTCTGTACACCAGGTCCCTGACAGTACACCAAAGCAGCCATACATCTTTATACTGTCTGAATGACTCCTCTCTTCTCTAAGCACAAGCACAGAGAAAATTCCTAGATAAATAAAATAGCGTCTGGGCGCCACCCAACAGATGCCTAGATTATCTTATCTTTGGTTTTGGAATACATTTTGTTCTTATCTTCCTGACAGCCAGCAAAGATGTACATCAACAATTCCCAGCTCTGCAGGGCACACACCATCTTCCAAGGGGTTGCAGCAGCTTGATTATCACTGATACAAATCTCTTCTCCTTCATGACATCCCGAGGGACCTCAACAAACCTGTTGGCAAGCCTTCTTGCTTTTTAAGAACTTGGCACAACAAACATAACCCTGCCCTTCAGAAAAAGCAACATGAGCAAAACAAAAATCAACTGCAGCAACCTTCTGGTACCATAGCCAGTTAAACACATGGAGAACAGGGACGGCATCACCTGCTGGGAGTTAAGCAGCACTCCTTCAAGGCTGTTTCTGTTCTAGAGTTATATAGCATTTTAATACAAGACTTTGTTTAAAAATAACTTTATTTTTCTACCAGTATGCACATGCATATAACATGCATTTATGAAGATGCAATAAATAAAATATCTTGAAAGCTAAAACTACTTTTCAAACTCCCTATGATACAGGATGATAAACAGCAGTCAAATGATAAGCTAACAATTGAAATATATTTTCTGAAGTTTTAAAATTTTTATTTTTTAAATCATATATTTTAGAAATAAGTCTTTTTAATAATGATTCTATGAATTAGTCCAAACAGCTCTATCCTTCTAGTTTCCAAAAGTAAATTTTTCTGGGTATATCTGTAGTGTATGAATACAAATTTGCATGTTTATAATTCAAGACAATAACACTATAATACAAATATAGGTAGAGTAAAGCTTGTCTTAATCCATTTGGGTTACAACAAAACATCTCAGGCGAGGTGGCATACAAACAGTAGATTTTTATTTCTCCTAGTTCTGGGGGCTGGGAAATCTCACATTAGGACACCAGCAAATTTGGTATCTGCTGAGTGTCCACTTTCTGGTTTAAAAATTGGCATCTTGTCACTGCAACCATATAAGGCAGAAAGGCCAAGGGAGTTCTCTGGGCTCTCTTTTATAATGAGAATGGTATCATTTATGAGGGCTCAGCTCTCATGTTGTAATCAGCTATCAAAGGCCTAATACCACCACACTGGATTCTAACATATGAATTTGGGGGGACACAAACATTCAGTCAATAGCATTCCATCCCTGGTCTCACAAAACTCATGCCCTTCTTACATGTGAGATTCATTATGTTCTAACAGCCCCCAAAGTCTTAACTCATTCTACTATCAGTTCCAAAGTCTAAAATCCATAGTGTCACCTGAGTATCATCTGAATCAGATATGATTGAGACTCAAGAAATGGTTCACCCTTCTCTAGTTGTAAACTCTTCTCTAGTTGTGAACCTGTGAAACCAAACTAGCTATGGGCTTCAAAAATAAAATAAGCCAATACAAGGGATAGATATTTCTATTCCAAAAAGGAGAAATGGCAAAGAAGAAAAGGGATCTCAAGAGTGTCTAATCCACAAGGTAAATTCCTTTTTTTCTTTTTTCTTTTGGTACCAGGGATTGAACTCATGACCTCACATTTGCCAGGCAGGCACTTACACCATCGAGCTTAATCCCTAGCTCCCACAAGGTAAATTCTATAAGACATAAAGGCTCAGAATACTCACTGGTTTAAGGCTCTGCCCTCCAACTCCACTTTGCCAGGCAGGTGCTAGACCCCTACAATCTGGGTGGCCCCCCACCCATAGGCTTGGGTGAAAGCCACCTGGCCTACTGAAAGCAAGGTGATGCCTCTTTCCTCCATTTTGAAACTGAAGAGGCAGCCTTAATCTCTAAATTACTTTGGGGACCACCCTTCTCTTGTTTTGAAGAACAGTACATATTCACAAAAACTCAAGGAATGTGACAGCCTTCTTTCATTTCTTTCTCTCTCCTTCCTCTTAAGTTCAAACTGACAAGTCTTCTTGCTAGGTGATTAGGTTTGTGGCTTTACACATACTACCCTGTTTATCAAATGGCGTCTTGACCACATCCTTAGTGTTCACAATTTTTGTGAAATGGGTAGGCTGAGAATCTTTTAAGTTTTGTGTCCCTTTTGCTTAATAATTGTCTTCGAGTAATTTTTCTCCTTGGATTTTACTAACAGGGAGAGTCAAACTGCACCTTCAACACCTTGATTAGAAATCTCTGCAGCCAACTTTCCAATTTCTCTTTTTGCAGTACTGAAGATTGCTCTGGATTGAGCAGTGTCTCTAAATTGTTTTATTTTGTTTTGAGACAGGGAGGGTCTCACTGAATCACTAAATTTCTCAGTCTGGGCTTGAACTTGTGATTTTTCTTTTCTGCCTTAGCTTGCCAGAATGCTAGGGTTACAGGCATGCACCACAATGCCTAGTTTAAAGTTACTCTCCTCTCTTTTTTTCTTTTTTTAAAGACAGGGGCCTCCTATGTAGTTCAGACTAGCCTTGTACCTACTATGTAACTCAGACTGGCTTCAAACTCATGGTGATCCTTTTGCTTCAGCCTCCCAGATGTTGGGATTACAGGTGTGTACCATCATGCCTAGTTTAAAATTTCAATGTCAACACTTGTAAATTCTACTTTCTAAGTAACACTACAACATGAACACAATTCAGCCAAATTCTTTGCCACTTCATAACAGTTTTTTTCCCACTGTCCAAAAATGTGTGCCCCATTTCTTAAATGTCATTATAATATTCTTTATTATCCACAGTTTTACTAACATATTGCCATGGGTTACTTCTTTGAGAGATACTTTTTCTATAGCTCTTTTTTTCTTTCTGAGTCAACAGAATCACCTTTAAAATTTCATTCACAGCAGTCTAGGCTTTTTCTAACAAGCACTTCAAAACTCTTTCAGCTTCTACCCATTCTACCCTTATTTCTATTACCATGATTAAACCACTAAAAGTATAACATAAAAGTAACTTTGTAGTTTTCACTAATTGGGAAAGCTTATACAGTTTGACCCTCATTATTCACAATTCTGTATTTGTAAATTTGCCTACTAGCTCAAATTCATTTGTGACCCCAAAAACAAATACCTATGGTATTTTCAGAGTTATTTGGAGACATTCATGAGATAACAAAAAACCAGAGTCACCCAATGCATATGTTCCCAACTGATGTCAAAAAAGGATGTTTTATCCTCTTTTCTCAGTTTTTATGCTGTAAACAAGTATGCTTAGTGTGGCCTATTTAGTACCATGTTGTCACATTTTTGCACTTTATACTGGTGATACTGCTGTTTAAAATAGCCTGTACGGAGGCTGGAGATTTAGCTCAGCAGCATAAGCGCCTGTCTTGCAAGCAGGCAGTCGTGAGTTCGATCCCTGGTACCGATAAAAAAATGAAAAAGACAAAAAAAAAAAAAAAAAAAAAAAAAGGCCTGTATGTGAAGTGTTGACATGCTATTTAGTGTAAGCATAAGAAGACTTTGCTATGCCTCATAAAGGAAATACTTTGGTTAGCCAGGCTTCATTTGGGCAAAGGTTATAGTGCTATTGGCCATCAGTTCAATTTTAACAAAGCAAATATACATACATATATATAATATTGAGTAGTTATCTATCTATTCTTTGAATAGAAATAAACACAAAATATGGTTATGTATTGATCAGTTGACAAATGTGCCCGAAGACTTGCAGAAAACTAACCCTACATTTACCCTAGAAAGGATGGTTCAGTATTCACAAATCCAGTTTTTGTGGTAACTTTATAGTACATAGCTATCACAAACAAGGAGAACCAAAAGCACTGAGGTTTCCAGTTAAAATGCCAAAGAGGAGGATGAACCTTACTCAAATGTGCCAGAGAAATCATGGACTGGAAATACCTGCCAGGTTAAAATGGCAGACTTTAAATTCACATAAAATCCAGTTCCCAATATTTCAGTTTGTTTTCTCATTGACATCATGTATTTTGTCAACACATTTTAATATTCTGTTTTTTCATTACTGAAGAAATTTTAAAAATACAAATGAAAAATTAAAGAAAATAAGATACACACATAAAACACACAGAACTTTTAATCAAAGGAATATGAGCATCTGAGATCCTTAAATATTTTGCTTTGACTGATAAAACAGTCCGTAAAAGTTGTATTAAAGGAAATCTGCCAATATCATACATTTAAACTTTTTTTTTAAAAAGCAGGAAAATATGTTTTGTACATTTAATTCATGCTAACCTTGTATTTGAAATATGCAGTCATTGTCAATAATATACCACAGTAAAAAATGAGCTAAGTGTATCACTGTTGTCACACAGATGTCTGAAGAAGTTTTCTGCACCAGCAGCCTGTTGTACAATGTAAGTTATCTTTATGTTGTTTTTAAAAACTCAAATAGCCTAAAAAACTTGAATTGATTATGGAATAAACTTTTATGTAAAATCTCTTAGAGATACCCTTACAGTTTTCAAAGTCTGATCAACTGTTTTTTTTTGGTCTTTTTCATTTTTTGTTTTTATCGGTACCAGGGATTGAACTCATGACTGCCTGCTTGCAAGGCAGGCGCTTATGCCGCTGAACTAAATCCTCAGCCCCAACGTCTAATCAACTCTTAACAGAAAATGAAAACCAGAAATGACCCACCAGTTTTGCAATGAGTGGGTGCCGAATTTTGGTGGAGAATAATGCTTACATTTATATCACTAAGTACATCTTAACACTGAAAAGTCAGATTCAAGAAGCCATAAAACAAAAAGATGAAAATATTTTTTACCTGCTCCAAATCAAATTATCACCTGAAATATAGTTTATTTTTTAAACTTCATATTTGCAAGTGAGAGATAAATATACTGTATAATCTATTATACAAACTAATATAGAGAAATAAAATTTATACTGATACTCCAACATAATTCCTTTAGATTGATGGTATTAATATATTTTCTCAATTCTGTCTAATCATTAATGTCCTTGGCATTCTATTATCTCTAAATGCAACAGTTGTTTTTAGAACGTAAAACCTGGGTATCTCTTCTAACTCTGTATATGCAACACACACAACTTTCATCTATTCTTGTGAGCCTTTATACCTTACCACACATAGCAAGTGGCATATGCTTAGCTATCTTTTATTTGTATTCTAAATAAGCCTTTGATCATTTAAGGTTTAGTAGATAAAGATAACCCAATAAATGATGCAGTCGATGCTATGAAAGTCTGAAGAGTCTACAAAGTGTATGTATTTAAAGTTTTTTGAGACAGGGGCTCCCTATGTAGTTTAGGCTGGTTTTGATTCTAAATTATGTAGTCCAGGTTGGCCTTGAACTTATGGCCTAATACCTCAGCTTCCTGAGTGCTGGGGTTACATGTGTGCCACCAAGCCAGGCCAGGGCTGTGAAACATTTATTTATTTTGGTGTTAAGAGTGAATCTAGCAGTTGTTTTATCTGTAACTGGGGAGCAGAAGCACATGGAGGCTCTATGTGATGAAACTGGTCCCTCCCCTTTTCCATTTTTGAAGCACCAGGTGCCTGTGGCTGCTAGATTCAAAAACTTTTTTTTTTGTCTTTTTCGTTTACTTGAGTCATTTTGGCCAACCCAACCCAATGAAAGAAGTAACAAGGCATTTTATGGTTTCTACCTAAACTTAGAAAGGGAACAAATCAGATTTCTTTTCACACCAGGGAAGAGAAAATATTCAGTGGTATTGTTGCTTAAAACAACAATACCACTGTGCCACATGAAGAAAAATAATTTTTGTAATATGTATCAGAAACAAATAAAGATTGCTCTCTAGTAAAGTGTATGTTAGAAAAGAAGAGTCTCAAAAGAACAAAGAATACAAAGGACTGAGTTAGATGGTGGTATTTACACAGTAACAGATGATGGTTGTTTTGGTATTGTTCAGTCTTAAGTACAATATTGAAAAGCAAAAAGAAGGGAAAAAAGTTGTGAAAACGCTTCCACTCCTATGAGTCTGTTTCATAAAATTAGGTCTAATTTCATGCACATAACCAAAGAACAATGTACAGAATAAGTAAATTCAGAAGACAAGTAAAAAACAAAAATGACTTATGCATTAGGTATAGGTTAGTTCACCTGAAAAGGGAAGAGAATTCAACAAATTGCCTCAAAAACATACAGTTATCAAAGAGAGTAAGGTCTTCATTTGCAACTAATAATACTCACTGGAAATGAGCATCCTTTATGACATGTATTTATGACAGTTATCACAGTAGTAGTGGTTACAGTGAAAAAATTAGCTATAATCTAACTGTCCAATGGAGTGATGATTAATTATGTCAATCTGACAAAAATGAGGGGTTTCTAGTAGAGAGTGCAGTATGAGCACTGACTCATCAGAATGCGTGTAAGCATGATACCAAATGTTAGTGTTGGTGGGGTAGGGTGTAGAAGCTGTGGAGGAGTCTGGGGTTAGGCAATTACTTTTTACCAACTGGGGTCATTCTAACAACCAGTAGGGCAGTGCCAATATATGATGGCTATGTGCCATCTGTGGCAGCAGCTAACAGCACCAAGCTCTTACTCCATCCCAAGACACAGCAGAAAGTTCAAGCAACAGTTCTGAGATGGGCAGTATTTTCTTCTCTTTTTCCCTCCCTGTCTTCTTCCCTCCTCTCCTTTCTGATTTCAGTACTAGAGATTGAAATCAGAACCTTAAAACTGAACTATATCCCCAGCCCATTTTCAACTTTTTATTTTGAAACAGAAGGTCTCATTAAGTTGCTAAATTGTTGGAGGTGGGCTTGAACTTGTAATCCTTTTGCCTCTCAGTCTCTCAAGAGTGCTAACATTAGACTTATGCCAGCAGGCCTGGCATTACTGTTCTTTTATAGATAACAGAAAAGATTCAAGAGGTTAAATCACTTGCCCAAGTTCATTCTACTGAGGTTCAATCTCACGCCTACTTGCCAAGAAAACCTGGCAGCTTATTGCTATTTTGTTGCTTCCCAAAACTATCCAGCCATGTGATATAACATTAAAGGGGAACATTAATATAATAAACTATAAATAAATTAAGATTACACTATACCGCAGGGTGAATTTTTTCTTTCCTGTAGACTTTTCAAAAGTTTTATAATATGATTATATTGTTTTTATAAGATAGACTGGCAAGGAAAACTGCAATATGTGGAGAGACTTCATAATAGCAAGGATTCATAAACACTATAGAGTTATTAAAATAAAGTTACAAAGTTTCAAATACATTTTTACTTCTAAAATGAGAGATTTCATACATCTGAAATGATTTAATTACTAGTCTAATTGAATAAACAAAGCACCTCTTGTAGCCCTTTCTAGTATTAGGATTCTGTAATACATTATTAATACCGTATCAAAGAAACAAAAATATATTATTGGGCTAAAAATTATGGAGAAGTCAAAGCATTAATTCATTCAATTAACATTTATTGTCTGTTTACTATGTGTCAGTCATTTGGAGAGCTGATGGGGAATTCCAACGTAGGCAAGAGCCTTGCCTCCACAGAGCTTACAGCAATTCCACGACTGCAGTTCTGTCTTGGCCTCAAGGTAAATATAAGTTCATTTTAAGCCAACAGCAACATGTTGAAGGGCAGGGAGCTCTGGCTCCAGGCCCAGGAGTAGCAGTAAAGGACTTTATCTATTTGGGAAGGTGGGATGATTCATTTCAGAGCTTCAGCATGGGTTCCCTCCCACATGGGCCAAGATCAACAGCTGAATAAAGAACCCTTAGAAGCTGCATGTGGTGGTAAATGTCTACAGTGCTAGCCCTCTGAAGGATGAGGCAGGAAGACTGAAAGTTAGAGCTTGGATGGGCAACTTAGTGACTTAGCAAGACATTGTGTCACGATAAAAAATAAAACAGACTGGGAATATAGTTCAGGATGAATAAATAAGAACCTTTATAAACCAACACAACTCTCTAGAGGCACTCTGACCCTGGGATAGCATTCATTATTTTTGGGATGTTGTTATTTCTTTAGGTTTCTTGGGGGGGGGTGGGTTAGACACAAAAATTATAAAGATAATCAATAATTTTTGGGGAGTTAGCTGATCTTGAATCTTGTTAAGGAATGAATCTACTATTTAATGAAGCTGTGCTGCCAAGAAAACAACTCTAAAACATGAATGGCACAGAAAATACGTTCCCATTGCCATTATCAGTGTGAATGCTACTGAGTACTCTGGTTGATCTGACCTGAGAACCTGCTCCTTCCCTTAAACCAATCACCTGTGAATTTGAGATAAAGAAACAATCTGTCTGGACTTCAATATTTTATTAATAATGTGTTTGAGAGGTACAATTAAGATTTTAATATCAGGGATATTTTAAAAAATTCTCTGGCCATTCTTGGGACTGTTGGGGAAGAGAACAAGAAGTCACCAAGAAGCAAGCCCTCCCTGTGAATCAGTGCCATGCACGTGCTACTGTGGGGAGAGCCAGATGCCAGCCCCTTCCAATGCACAGGCTGGGAAACAAGAAGAGTCAACTCCCACCCACCCCCACCACACTGCCATAAGTGATCTGCTGATCTAGGCTGTGGTGATAGCTATTGAGGTAACTTACAATTTAATGCTTGCAGTGTTTAGTGCTTCACTGACTTCGCAGGTCTAAAGCTGGTAGTCTGATCATCTAGTCAGAGGATAACAATATGCAATGTATCATATATGGGGGATCTCCTTCTGAAAGTGGCAGCCATTGTTAACTCCTTATTTTCTTGTTTTGAAGTCCTGTATCATTTTCATTGTTTTTTTGGGTTGGGTTTTATTCTGTTTGGTTTTATTGTATCTGATGGCATGGGTAGCTATTTCAAAGGTAACAGGATATATTATGGTAGCCATTTTGGATTTACTACTGGTCTTGTTTTGAAGTCTTTTATTGCATTCACTTTTTTGTTTTTATTGGTGCTATTCTTTTCTGTTTTGTTTGGTTTTTACCATGTCTGAAGGTATCTGCAGCTACTATGAAGACAAGAAGAGGCATTATGTTAACAATTATTGATTTCGTACTGTTTTGAAGTCCTGTGTCACTTACACTGGCTTGTTTTGATTGGCTTTATTCTGTTTTATTTTGCTTGGTTTTATTCTCTTAAAAATAAAATAAAAAAATAAAACACTTTCTGTTAAAGAGGCATAAAATCCATGTTACCTTCCTTTAAATTAAGTGTCTAAGTAAATTAATATGAATACCATTCCCATGGACTCTTCTTTCATCTTCCTTTACTGTTCTCCCTCTCAGGTTGAACCAATCTCCCTGGAAGTATGAGCCTTCAGGCTGCTAAATACACATTAAGAGGTTTGCTGATTGTGACAGTCTGATGATGGCTGGAAGATCTTTTCAATCAACCATTAGACTCCTCTATGTACAAAGAAGGAGGTGGGTACATTCTTAATGTGTTAGTTAAAAACCTTTAATATATGTATATATCAGTAATCTCACCTCCGATATAACTTGGACTGTCCAAAGGTCATAATTACCAGTGGTACATGGAAGGTAGTCAAGACTAGAATAACCTGGAGAGAAACAAAAGCACTCTTGTCAATAATAAAGATATTCCAATGACATGTTGACATATTATGAAATTAAATCACACCTGTAAGATTGGTCACTTTGTAGCAGACTATATTGCAGTATATTTTTTAAAAAATGAAGACGGCCAGGGATTTAGCTCAGTGGCACAAGTGCCTGCCTGGCAAGTGTGAGTTCGTGAGTTTGATCCCCAGTACCAAAAACAACAACAACAAAATTAAATAAAAGACAATATGTCAGCCACCAGTGAATGTATAAAGGGCCTAGATCTCATACCCTATGGATTCAAATATAAAACATTAAATTCATTTGGGCCAGGGATTGGCTCAGTGGCACAAGCATCTGCCTGGTATACACAAGGTCATGAGTTTGATCTCTGATACAAAAAAAAAAAAAAAAAGGAAGAAGAAGAAAGAAGAAGAAGGAGGAGGAGAAAGGAGAAAGGAGAAAGAAGAAGGAAGAAGGAAGAAGAGGAAGAGGAAGAAGAAGGAGAAGGAGGAGAAGGAGAAGAAGAAGAAGAAGAAGGAGAAAGAAAGAAAGAAAGAAAGAAAGAAAGAGAAAGAAAGAAAGAAAAAGAAAGAAAGAAAGAAAGATAGATGAGAAGGACAAAATTTCTAGGACTTATCATTGTAAGTCCAGATATCCTCAACTCACTTTGTTGGGATGTTACCCCTTCTCAATTGAGGTAGTGCAACAGAGCTACTCAAATATACATTGCAATAAAGGAAGGACTGAACTACTTTTGTACCCAAATTATTGCAAGATATTCTCAGGCAAGAACCATCTCTTATTTTTCTGCCTATGGAGGTTACTGTGGGTGTTCTCATAGAGGTTACTGTGTCACATATATTTGCCCATCCTGTCTTTCTGCTGTTAGTTCTCCATGAAATTCATTTTATAAATAATTACTTATTTATAAAAAGTATACAATAGAAAAAGATCTTGGTTAGATTAGTATTGGAGTCTAAGGAACCTCAAAAAGCTATAAAAGAAATCTCAGAGATGCCAACTATCTTACCCAAATGGATAAATTGTAAAAACTGGGGTTATAACTCAAATTTTAGAAGAAACTGAAACAAACTTTAAAAAAATTCTACTGGAAACTTAAAAACTAATTAAAATAAGAACTTGTTTTTCAAAACCAAAATGTATTTCTTTAAACTTCTAATATAGCTATCATGTGACTCAAAGCTATGATCACTGGAATATGAGGAGGCATGTGACAGGGCCCCTTCCCTCTCTCAGGCAGATAACGAACCAAACCCTGATTCAAGACCTGAGACCCATTTATCTTGAATGCACCGTCTTAGCAGGGTGCCACCTACATAAAAGGAGGGATAAGGAGCTGACTGCCTTCCTCTATTCCCTAGTCTTGGGGTACTTCTTTTTGAAATAGACAGGGATAATAGAGTTTAACACCCAGGGGCCCAAAGGTACCACAGTCCTTTAACACAACTGTGGGAAAGAATACAGGAAAAACACACAATTTAGGAGTACAAATGCCAAATGTGTAATGTGCTCTTTTCTGCTTCCTCACAGAGATTCTTCCAAGTATTATCTCAGCACACAGCACTGTATTCCCTTTCTTCTGCTTGCTCATTTTGATACTAAGAAGCTAATAAAGATTAAAAGAGTGTCTATTTTAGCTGGGTGTGGTTGTGCACACCTGTAATCCCAGCACTCAGGAGGCTGAGGCAGAAGGATCATTGCAAATTCATGGTCAGCTTGGGTTACATAGTGAGTTCAAAGCTACCCTGAATTTACATAGTGAGACCCTAACTAAAAAAAAAAAGACAAACAAACAAACAAGTCTATTTTCCTATTATGAAAGAAGGTGGTAAAAAATGTCTCCAGTTTTAAAGCAAAACCAAACCAACAACTTCCTGAAAGTCTGTCCTGTAAACAACATGCATTTGCTCCAACTGAGGCTGAAAACCGTTTCAGAAAGTAATGAGATTTAGTGCTTCCACTCCCAATCTACATCCCCTTACTTGACCGAAATAAATACTACTTACCCCAGTGCGATCTCCAACCCAGGACAAAGATACTGAGCCACTGAGATCATCGAACACATGCTATAATGGGAAGAACAAATGAAATTCATTTAGAAATCTACTCTCCTACAATTTATGACTTCGTTGTATGATGCAGAACTTTATCACTGTTCCAAGTAATTAAGCTCATAATTGTAAGGGAACACAGGTCCCCAGGACAAAGTTGGGGAGAAGCAAGATTTAATTACTTAACTAAATCACAAATAACTTAAGACTTTAAATTCTCTCTCACACAGAGTAAGCCAAGCAGATGAGTTTTCTTCACTGCACCAGATGGGGAGATGGGATAATCTAACTGCTTTCTCCAACATGACTAAATATAAAGATAGAACAAAGTATTCTTAGGATGCTTTAAAACAAGAAATCAGATCCCACAGTGACAGACATAATTATAACCCAACCACCATAATTTAAATTTTTCTAGCCAGTTCTTCACAGTATAGCTGAGTAGTTACTAGCTGGATTCTTTTTTGCTTCCAGGCAAATCACCAGAAGGACAAGAAATAGAAGCAAGAAAGCAAACATGCTTGATTTATATTTTTATTAAATAATAATAGTATAAAATAATAATAATAAATCTTATTAAAACTGTGGTGGGAGAGGGAAGCAAAAACGGGAAAGTTGGCATTTTATATTCAAAATACAGTACTCACGTTGAAATACAGTTACTGTAAAAAATTGTTATAACCAGGTGTGGTGGTGCATACCTATAATCCCAGCACTTGGGAGGCTAAGGCAGGAAGATCACTGTTGAGGGCAGCCTGAGTCATGTAGTGTATTTAAGGCCAGTTGGAATTACATAGTGAGACATTATCTCAAGAACAGTAAAGGAAATCAAAACCAAAACAAAACCCCAAAATTGTTATACTGCTCTTGTGTTTTGTCCAAAGTGTTTTCTTTTTCTAGTTATAAAATACATATTCATTACCGACAATTACAAGGAAGTATAATAAAATGAAATCATTCATAAACCTACCACAGATATTTCAGATTAATATTGTATAATCTTTTAGTTTATATTATTTTTAACTGATTAAAGAATAAAATTTCAAAGAGTTAATACCTTTACTTGATAAAAAAAGTTCTAGCCATATGGATATTATATGTTACATACAATGTCTATAACAAAAAGCGAAAGTCCTCCTCTTTGTCATGACACATACTAGATTAACTACTCAGCAATAGCTTAGTGCAGAATTTATTTCTGTTAAATGTTGGTGATTATGCTTTTTTTCTGAAGAAATAGCCTAAGTTCTTAAAAATATATTAAACATATCCTGCTTTCCTAAATATGAAAAAGTCATTACAAGCAGAGGATGCTAACTTCTCAGTACTCCCTTGTGCCTACCACAGGGATACTTTGCCTACTCAATAAGCATTTGTTGAAAATAATTATAATATATCCTTCCCAAACCAAAAATTCAATCTCAAAATAGAACATGCCTATAAACAGTGGTATGCCAGCTTCTTGGTCATTCAAGCCACCAATCCTCTCAGAAAATGCTAAAGAAACAGAACTCAAAACATGCAGTTTTGCTTATTTTCCAGTTTTCTCTTGTGGTCCTCGGAATTCACCAATGCTATCTCCTCTATAGAATGAAAGTACTTTTAAGGTCAAAAGACCTCCTGTAAAGCCTCTGTAAGTTTTAGGTGAGTGCCTTACACAGTGCTTCCCTGGTAAATGCTGGTTAACTCTCAAACACTCAGGCAGAATTTCTTGCAGCCTCTGCAGGACAGAAGGGCTATTCACACATGGAGACTTGCCAAGCATCTAAGAAAAAGTAAAGCTTCTAGTGATACTAGAAACCAGAAGCATACAAGCTAACACAGCAGTGTGTCTTGTAAGATACAGTGTTTTGCACAAAGCAAGACCACATGTTCTCTGGAGTGAGGAGACAGAGTCTGAAATTACATCAATGAGTTCCTTGAAGAGGAGCAGAAATATCCAGAGCTACTGCAAGCTCCAGACAGACCACATGAGCTAGTAGTCATCTAAACATAGGTTATTTTTCCAAGGAAGATTTTGAGCACAAGAACTAAGCAGAACAAATGAAAAATTCCATCAACTATGGCTCTGGAGTTCTTGGTTTCATAATTAGGCCATAATATAACTGGTATAGAATCAATCAGGACCTGCATGTTTCATTTTTCAAACAACGCTTTACACACCTGACCCTCTCAGTCCACACTCGCATTTCCCACGTTTTCCTACTGCTCAATCACAGAGCAAGCAAGGATCACTGCTATCACTGCAACCTTCTGCTTCAACTACACAACTGAAATGATAACTGACCTCATTTACTACACAAATAATTCCTTTGGAAATACAGACCAGATTTATTACCTGTAGCTGAGGTTTTTTGCTACCTTTAACCTTCTGTACTTCCCTCCATTAACCAAATAACATTTAATTTCGAGAAGATACAAACTTAAAAATTTATCAACTAGATAAATGTAATCAATGTGCTGTATTTCAGTCTTTAATATGCTTATCCTCCCAAAAGTGTGAGCAGCACTCAAAGGAAAAGAACAGATTGTATAAAAGGAGATGAGTTCAGGAGAGATGGAGGAACAACAATGTAGGTGAGTGATGGCTAACCTATGATATACAAGCCGCAGCTCTGAAAGGTCTGCCATCACTGACATAGGTCAACGCTACCTTTATAGTGAGAGAAGAAACACAGATGGCCAAGAAAGGGTGGTTAACATACTCATAAGTGACAGAATTAATTTCTGTTAGCAACGATCAATTCTAATGTCTAATTATTCATCATAGCACAATTTACATTTATCATTCTACACTGTAGTAGCATTTTTGATCTTTTAAAATATATTACTTATTAATTCTAACAAGAACCCTATCTGTCCCCTCTAGACCTAAAGTTTATCTAGCACAGAGATTTGAGGCTATATATTTTAGTAACTAACAGATAGTGTAGTACAGTAGGCAGTCAACAAATACTGAATCTGTTTTTTTTAAAGAGCTACTGGTGAAGTTTTACAAATGAAGATGATGAAATGAAATGACTATGAAATGTAAAACTTCTGCTTTTGGCCAGTGAGGAGTAAGAAGGGCAAAGATTTAAATTCCCACCTGAAACAACTAAAAAAATACAATATATGAAGCAACCATTTTTAAGAACTGGACATCAGGCAATGAAAAATGACAAACTCTGAAAAATAGGAATTAAACAAAGAGTGTCCTACAACTGCCCCAGCTTTCTACATGGGAGAGAATTTCCAGTGCATGGAAAAGGAACCCAAAAGAAATGAAATTGGCAGTGTACAGAAGCAAAGTCAGAGTTCACAGGGTAAAGGACTGCAGAGGAGAGCGCTACAGAAGACCATTCTGGAGATCTGTAGAGGGAGTACTATGGTTTGAACATGTGCTCCAAGGGTTTATGTATTGGAAATCTAAGCCTCAAATGTATAGACAATGGTATTTAGAGGTGAGGTCTTTGGGAATTAATGATAATTAGACGAGTTCCTAAGGTTAGCATTGCTAGTTTTATAAAAAGAGAAGAGGCCAGTATTCTAAAAGGCTGAAGCTGAGGCTGAGGAAGATCATAAATTCAAGGCTAGTGTGGGAAATTTAGCAAGACTATTTCAAAATAATGGGCTAGGGATATGATTCAGTGTGAAGAGCATGGTTCAGTCCCAAGTAACACACATTCACAGAGAGGAGGAAGGGGAGGATGAGAAGAGGAGGAGCAGGAGGAAGCAGCGAAGGAGAAAGGGGGAAGACTGCACTAACACACTTGCTCAATCCTACCATATGACACTCAGCCATGTTATGACCCTGAAGAAGTCCTTACCAGATCTCACTGTCTGATCTGAGGACTTCCCAGCCTCTAGAACTGTGATCTACCTAAAATAAATCTCTATTCTTTTAAATTACCTACTCTGAGGTATTTAGTTATAGCAACTGAAAACTGACTAAGATGACAGGTGGGGGCCCACTCTAATTATTTAGCTAAGTCTTCAACTGAATACTGATTGCACATGCATGTATCGAAACTACCTGAGGCCAGGAAAGAGTTAACAACTAGAGAAAACAATACCTGGATCTTACATAGGACCAGTACTAATTCTTTTTCCCAATAGAAAAAACTTTTAAGTGTAGTGAGTATTCAGAAAAGTTTACCTTAGTAGTGGACAAAAATTAACCCTACAATAAATATTGTTTTGGTCTTGCCTTAAAAAGCTTAAAAGGAAGATCAAAAAAGTGTCCGAGCGGCCGGGGGTTAGCTCAGTGGCACAATGCCAGTGGCCAAGGGCAAGGTTGTGGGTTTAATTCCCCGGTACAGGAAAAAAAAAAAGTGTTAAACTGTTTCTAAGTAACCTTTTTCCCAGTAAAAATAGCGATAAAAATATAAAAATAACTTGCATTCAACAAAATAAAATTCATAATACACAAGATTAAATCAAAAATAGACATGCAAGAAACAAGAAAACAGAATCCACAAGGAAGAGACAAGTCAATCAAACTGACCCAGAAACAGCATAAATAATGTAATGAGTAGCACGGGCATTAAAACAGTTACAACAAAAAAAACCCAGTTATTATTATACTATGTTTAAAAATTAGAAAAGAGATTGCATATGCTAGATAAAAATGAAGAAAATATATTTTTAAGAGACTTAAATCCCAGAAGTGTACACCTAGCATGTGTGTGAGGCCCAGGATTTCATCCTTAGTAATGGAAAACAAACAGCCAAATGAACAAATACACACAGGACTGAAAATGGAAATGAAAAAAAGACTCACATAAGACTTGTAGGAACAAGAATTACAATGTTTGAGATAAAAAATACACTAGGACATCATTAACTGAAGATTAGTTATTGCTGGAGAGATTAGGGACCTTGAAGACATAACAAGATAAACATGGAAAGTCAAAGCAGAGGAAAAATAATAAAGGGAGTATCACTGATCTGTGTATCAACATCAAACATTCTACTACATATATGATTGGAGTCACCAAAGAAGGTTGGGGGAGGAATACAGAAAAACACTGAAGAAATAACAGCCCCATATTCCTCAAACTTGATGAAAATTCTAAAGTTTGAA